GTGTGGTGTGTCTGTCAGCAGGTGTGTGGTGTGTCTGTCAGCAGTGTGTGTGGTGTGTCAGCAGTGTGTGTGGTGTGTCTGTCAGTAGTGTGTGTGTCTGTCAGCAGTGTGTGGTGTGTCTGTCAGTAGTGTGTGTGGTGTGTCTGTCAGCAGTGTGTGTGTCTGTCAGTAGTGTGTGTGGTGTGTCTGTCAGCAGTGTGTGGTGTGTCTGTCAGCAGTGTGTGTGATGTGTCTGTCAGCTGTGTGTGGTGTGTCTGTCAGTAGTGTGTGTGGTGTGTCAGTAGTATGTGTGGTGTGTCAGCAGTGTGTGGTGTGTCTGTCAGCAGTGTGTGTGGTGTGTCAGCAGTGTGTGTGATGTGTCAGCAGTGTGTGTGGTGTGTCTGTCAGCAGTGTGTGTGATGTGTCTGTCAGCAGTGTGTGTGGTGTGTCAGCAGTGTGTGTGGTGTGTCTGTCAGCAGTGTGTGTGGTGTGTCTGTCAGTAGTATATGGTGTGTCTGTCAGCAGTGTGTGGTGTGTCTGTCAGCAGTGTGTGTGGTGTGTGTGTCAGCAGTGTGTATGGTGTGTCTGTCAGTAGTGTGTGTGTCTGTCAGCAGTGTGTGTGGTGTGTCAGCAGTGTGTGTGGTGTGTCTGTCAGCAGTGTGTGGTGTGTCTGTCAGCAGTGTGTGTGATGTGTCTGTCAGCTGTGTGTGGTGTGTCTGTCAGTAGTGTGTGTGGTGTGTCAGTAGTATGTGTGGTGTGTCAGCAGTGTGTGGTGTGTCTGTCAGCAGTGTGTGTGGTGTGTCTGTCAGCAGTGTGTCAGCAGTGTGTGGTGTGTCTGTCAGCAGTGTGTGTGGTGTGTGTGTCAGCAGTGTGTGGTGTGTCAGCAGTGTGTGTGGTGTGTCGTCAGCAGTGTGTGTGGTGTGTCTGTCAGCAGTGTGTGTGGTGTGTCTGTCAGCAGTGTGTGTGGTGTGTGTGTCAGCAGTGTGTGGTGTGTCAGCAGTGTGTGTGGTGTGTCTGTCAGCAGTGTGTGTGGTGTGTCTGTCAGCAGTGTGTGTGGTGTGTCTGTCAGCAGTGTGTGTGGTGTGTCAGTAGTGTGTGTGGTGTGTCAGCAGTGTGTGTGGTGTGTCTGTCAGCAGTGTGATGGTGTGTCAGTAGTGTGTGTGGTGTGTCTGTCAGCAGTATGTGTGGAGTGTCTGTCAGCAGTGTGTGTGGTGTGTGTCAGCAGTGTGGTGTGTCTGTCAGCAGTGTGGGGTGTGTTAACAGTGTGTGTGGTGTGTCAGCAGTGTGTGTGATGTGTCTGTCAGGAGTATGTGTGGTGTGTCTGTCAGCAGTGTGTGGTGTGTCTGTCAGCAGTGTGTGGTGTCTGTCAGCAGTATGTGTGGTGTGTCTGTCAGCAGTATGTGTGGTGTGTCTGTCAGTAGTGTGTGTGGTGTGTCAGTAGTATGTGTGGTGTGTCAGCAGTGTGTGGTGTGTCTGTCAGCAGTGTGTGTGGGGTGTGTGTCAGCAGTGTGTGTGGGGTGTGTGTCAGCAGTGTGTGTGGTGTGTGTCAGCAGTGTGTGGTGTGTCTGTCAGCAGTGTGGGGTGTGTCAGCAGTGTGTGTGGTGTGTGTCAGCAGTGTGTGGTGTGTCTGTCAGCAGTGTGTGTGGGGTGTGTGTCAGCAGTGTGTGGTGTGTGTCAGCAGTGTGTGGTGTGTCTGTCAGCAGTGTGGGGTGTGTCAGCAGTGTGTGTGGTGTGTCTGTCAGCAGTGTGGGGTGTGTCTGTCAGCAGTGTGTGGTGTGTCTGTCAGCAGTGTGTGTGGTGTGTCAGCAGTGTGTGTGGTGTGTCTGTCAGCAGTGTGTGTGGTGTGTCAGCAGTGTGTGTGGTGTGTCAGTGGTGTGTGTGGTGTCTCTCAGCAGTGTGTGTGGTGTGTCTGTTCGCAGTGTGTGTGTCAGCAATGTGTGTGGTGTGTCTGCCAGCAATGTGTGTGGTGTGTCAGTAGTGTGTGTGGTGTGTCTGTCAGCAGTATGTGTGGTGTGTCTGTCAGCAGTGTGTGGTGTCTGTCAGCAATGTGTGTGGTGGTCTGCCAGCAGTGTGTGTGTGTGCGTGTGTGTGGTGTGGTCAGTAGTGTGTGTGGTGTGTCTGTCAGCAGTATGTGTGGTGTGTCTGTCAGCAGTGTGTGTGGTGTGTGTCAGCAGTGTGGTGTGTCTGTCAGCAGTGTGGGGTGTGTTAACAGGGTGTGTGGTGTGTCAGCAGTGTGTGTGATGTGTCTGTCAGGAGTGTGCGTGGTGTGTCAGCAGTGTGTGTGGTGTGTCTGTCAGCAGTGTGTGGTGTGTCTGTCAGCAGTGTGTGTGGCGTGTCTGTAGTGTGTGTGGTGTGTCTGTCAGCAGTATGTGTGGTGTGTCTGTCAGCAGTGTGTGGTGTGTGTCAGCAGTGTGGTGTGTCTGTCAGCAGTGTGGGTGTGTTAACAGTGTGTGTGGTGTGTCAGCAGTGTGTGTGATGTGTCTGTCAGGAGTGTGCGTGGTGTGTCAGCAGTGTGTGGTGTCTGTCAGCAGTGTGTGTGGTGTGTCTGTCAGGAGTATGTATGGTGTGTCTGTCAGCAGTGTGTGGTGTGTCCGTCAGCAGTGTGTGGTGTCTGTCAGCAGTATGTGTGGTGTGTCTGTCAGCAGTGTGTGTGTGGTGTCAATAAGGGTGGGGTGAGCCCGAAGTAATAAGTTGTATGGGTTGTGTAAACATCAGCACTTGGGGAGACAAAGGCGGCCGGGCGTGGTGCATTCCACCCCAACCCCTTTGCAACGACAGTCTGTTAAAAATGCTACATGAGGGGGGGGGGGGGTTTATAGTGTGTGTAATGAGTTGTATCTAAGTAATGAGGCTGTAGTATCTTAAGTAATGAGACTAGTACGAGTCGTGTGTGTGTTGTGTGAGCTGCGGTGGAGGCTGTAGTTTGTTTGAGCGGTGTGTGTGTGGGTTGTGTGCTGTAGGTGATGCTGCTGTAGTAGGGGTACGGTGTGAGTTGCCATGTGGTTGTGAAACTGCGACGAGGCTTGATTTAAAGATTTCGTGACTACAGGAATTCATACTATTCGGGTCTTTCGGGAAAGTCACGTAGATAATAAAATAATAATAATGAAAATCACGACGTTTCGATCACAACACAAGCAATCGTTACGAGACATCCTTTGCCAGTAGCAAGATATATTAATAGGTTTTTACCCTTTTATCTGGCACCAAAACTGACACCTTTATACAAGGGATCATGTTTGCAATAACCACAACACAAGCAGTCAAAATACAAACAAAAAAAGACAACTCTGATAATGATATGCACTGTCCTAGTTGTGGTGAGGCTGTAGTGTGTGTGGTGTAGTTGTGGTGAGGCTATAATGTGGTGTAGCTGTAGTGTAGCTGTAATGAGGCTGTAGTGTGTGTGGTGTAGTTGTGGTGAGGCTGTAGTGTGGTGTAGTTGTAGTGTGTGGTGTAGCTGTAATGAGGCTGTAGTGTGTGTGGTGTAGCTGTAATGAGGCTGTAGTGTGTGTGGTGTAGCTGTAATGAGGCTGTAGTGTGTGTAGTGTAGCTGTGGTGAGGCTGTAGTGTGTGTGTGGTGTAGCTGTGGTGAGGCTGTAGTGTGTGTGGTGTAGCTGTAGTGAGGCTGTAGTGTGTGTGGTGTAGCTGTAGTGAGGCTCTAGTGTGTGTGGTGTAGCTGTGGTGAGGCTGTAGTGTGTGTGGTGTAGCTGTAGTGAGGCTGTAGTGTGTGTGGTGTGGCTGTGGTGAGGCTGTAGTGTGTGTGTGGTGTGGTTGTGGTGAGGCTGTAGTGTGTGTGGTGTAATTGTGGTGAGGCTGTAGTGTGGTGTAGTTGTGGTGAGGCTGTGATGTGTGTGGTGTAGTTGTGGTGAGGCTGCAGTGTGGTGTAGTTGTAGTGTGTGTGTTGTAGCTGTGGTTAGGCTGTAGTGTGTGTGGTGTAGTTGTGGTGAGGCTGTAGTGTGTGTGGTGTAGTTTTGGTGAGGCTGTAGTTGTGGTGAGGCTGTGATGTGTGTGGTGTAGTTGTGGTGAGGCTGTAGTGTGGTGTAGCTGTGGTGTGTGTGGTGTAGCTGTAGTGAGGCTGTAGTGTGTGTGGTGTAGCTGTAGTAAGGCTGTAGTGTGTGTGTGGTGTGGCTGTGGTGAGGCTGTAGTGTGTGTGGTGTAGCTGTGGTGAGACTGTAGTGTGTGTGGTGTGGCTGTGGTGAGGCGGTAGTGTGTGTGGTGTAGCTGTGGTGAGGCTGTAGTGTGTGTGGTGTGGCTGTGGTGAGGCTGTAGTGTGTGTGGTGTAGCTGTGGTGAGGCTGTAGTGTGTGTGGTGTAGCTGTGGTGTGTGTGGTGTAGCTGTAGTGAGGCTGTAGTGTGTGTGGTGTAGCTGTAGTAAGGCTGTAGTGTGTGTGTGGTGTGGCTGTGGTGAGGCTGTAGGGTGTGTGGTGTAGCTGTGGTGAGACTGTAGTGTGTGTGGTGTGGCTGTGGTGAGGCGGTAGTGTGTGTGGTGTAGCTGTGGTGAGGCTGTAGTGTGTGTGTGGTGTAGCTGTGGTGAGGCTGTAGTGTGTGTGGTGTAGCTGTAGTGAGGCTGTAGTGTGTGTGGTGTAGCTGTGGTGTGTGTGGTGTAGCTGTGGTGAGGCTGTAGTGTGTGTGTGGTGTGGCTGTGGTGAGGCTGTAGTGTGGTGTAGTTGTAGTATGTGTGGTGTAGCTGTGGTGAGGCTGTAGTGTGTGTGGTGTAGCTGGAGTGAGGCTGTAGTGTATGTGGTGTAGCTGTAGTGAGGCTGTAGTGTGTGGTGTAGCTGTAGTGAGGCTGTAGTGTGTGTGGTGTAGTTGTAGTGTGTGTAGTGTAGCTGTAGTGTGTGTGGTGTAGCTGTAGTGTGTGTAGTGTAGCTGTAGTGTGTGTGGTGTAGCTGTAGTGTGTGTGGTGTAGCTGTAGTGTGTGTGGTGTGGCTGTAGGTGACGAGGCCGGCGCTAAAGCGGAACGACCCCCGGGGGAGTGGGGGGGGTGAGCGCCTTCATCCTCGTCCCCTCCTCTGCGTGACGCCTCTCCCCCCACCACCACCACCGTCACCACCACCACCGCCTCCACCTCCCTGATGGCAGCAGCAGCAGGCGTCTCTGTCTGTGTGCGCTCGTCGTGCCGCGCCATCGTGCCGAGCTAACGGTGTCCGGCCCAGGCGTCGCGATGTGGCGACAGTCGTCGCGTTCCGCACGGCCCTAGGAAGGCGCAGCCGCCGGGCGGGGGGACAAGACCGCGTGCCGAACACCTCTTTTTGCTCGAGGACCTTGGAGGAGGACGAGGAGGAGTAAGATATTTATATAGGGCGTCCATTTAGAGAGGTTTGGTAGGTTGGAGGTTGTTTTGCGCTCACGGCGAAGGACCTCGAGGGGGAAGGGATTGAGTCCGTGGCGGTGGGGCGGCGATGGAGGTGGCAGCCGCTTGACCCGCGTCCCGACAACTTGGCACGAGGAGCCGGGGGTGGTGGCGGCGGCTGAGGGGCTGGTGAGGCTGAGGGGCTGGTGAGGCTGAGGGGCTGGTGGCGGCTGAGGGGCTGCTGAGGCTGAGGGGCTGCTGAGGGGCTGGTGAGGCTGAGGGGCTGGTGAGGCTGAGGGGCTGAGGGGCTGGTGGCGGCTGAGGGGCTGCTGAGGCTGAGGGGCTGCTGAGGAGCTGGTGAGGCTGAGGGGCTGCTGAGGCTGAGGGGCTGCTGAGGAGCTGGTGAGGCTGAGGGGCTGCTGAGGCCGAGGGGCTGGTGGCGGCGTGTGGAGGACGAGAGAGGTAAAATAACACACGCGGGGCACTGCAGCGCGGGTTTCGGGCTGCCACGGGAGGCCGAGGCCGCCGCCGTCTTCGGTCGTGGCCACGAGCGCGGAGCTGCTGATCTGCTTAGCGTCGTCGGCGTCGTCGCTAAATGTTGTAACTGTTATCACTGTTATCGAGCAGCATCGCAGGGATGAGTGTAGCTGCTGAGTTACCACCATTGACATCGCCGCCACCAGCACCACCCTCGTCGTTAACAACTATAACCACCAGCACCACCACCACCCTCATCGTTAACAACTATAACCAGCACCACCAGCACCACCACCAGCACCACCACCAGCACCACCCTCATTGTTAACAACTATAACCAGCACCACCACCACCCTCATTGTTAACAACTATAACCACCACCAGCACCAGCACCACCCTCATCGTTAACAACTATAACCAGCACCACCACCACCCTCATTGTTAACAACTATAACCACCACCAGCACCAGCACCACCCTCATCGTTAACAACTATAACCACCACCACCAGCACCACCCTCATTGTTAACAACTATAACAACCAGCACCCTCATTGTTAACAATTATAACCACCACCAGCACCACCACCCTCATCGTTAACAAATCTAACCACCACCACCTGTACCACCCTCATCGTTAACAACTATAACCAGCACCACCACCACCAGCACCACCAGCACTACCACCAGCACCACCCTCATTGTTAACAACTATAACAACCACCGGCACCACCACCCTCATTGTTAACAACTATAACAACCACCAGCACCACCACCCTCATTGTTAACAACTATAACCACCAGCACCACCACCACCAGCACCACCCTCATTGTTAACAACTATAACAACCACCAGCACCACCACCCTCATTGTTAACAACTATAACAACCAGCACCACCACCCTCATTGTTAACAACTATAACCAACACCACCACCCTCATCGTTAACAACTATAACCACCAGCACCACCACCACCACCATCAGCACCACCCTCATTGTTAACAACTATAACCACCACCATCATCGTTAACAACTATAACCACCACCACCACCACCACCACCCTCATCGTAAACAACTATAACCACCACCACCCTCATCGTAAACAACTATAACCACCACCACCTTCATCGTAAACAACTATAACCACCACCGTCATCGTCAACATCACTAGCTTCAACCAGAACTGCTGCACTACCGCCACCATCATAATAACCAACCATCATCGTTGTCGTTATCAAAGGGAAAAGTGCGGCACCGCTTAGCATCATCACCAAAAGCATAACATCCACCGCCATCAACTATCATCACTGTCACTGTAACCACAGCCATCTTCACCGCTACCAATGGAACGAATATAACATGCCCATTCATCACTGCAACCCAAGCATCACCATAACCCAAGCTTCACCACCACCACCACCGTCACACTTTCTACCGATTACGGTCGTCAACCCCCATTGCCTTGTCCGGCAGCAGGGAGGAATCGAGCCAGGAGGGGAGAGCGAGGGAGACCTGGAGAAGTATCTGCTGACGAGTGGGGAGTCCTCCGCAATGGACGAGAAGCTCAAGATGCCGGGCTCCCCACTCGACAAGAGCCCCGAGGAGCTGGGCGCCCTGGACGTGTACGACATCGCGGCGCTCCTGGGCCGCGGCTTCGAGAGGGCCCTGGCGGCGGGGACCGAGGGCGGAGAGGTGAAGTAGTTCCCAAATGCCACCGTCTCTCACGCCAAAACCACTTGTGGTGGTGGTGGTGGTGGCGGCGATGGTGGTGGTGGACCAGTATTCCCACAGTGTGTGCATGCAATGTTGGATTTTGGCTAGTCCCTAACCCTACAGGGGTTGCTCCTTTTGTTTTCCTTCACAAATCAAACCAGCGACAGTAGGCCTACGTCTTATCAAAACTGTGCAGTTGTAATAACGCCCGTAAGGCTCAACGTACTAATAATATCACCAGATCTCGATACAAATCAATACGTGCCACCGCCACGAACATAATAACAATTCCCGAAGGTGGGTAACACAAAGTGTCTTGAAGTAATCTCCTCGGCTACAGCCGCCCACTCGCAGTCAACTAATGTTCAACTTCTAAAAACATAAATAATATATTTGGAATCACCGCAGCTCCACCTCCTATCTCCCACCTTTTGATCTCCACTTGCAAATATGGAGCACTGCCCCATGCTCTCTACTCACGAGGTATTCATTATAAAGTGTAAATGGTGCTTGCTTGGCACTAAATTTGAAACCTGACCCCAAACTCGATTCCATTGCAGTGGTCAGTTCTATAAAGCAACTCGATTAACAATTTCCCTTGGTGTGCCATTTAAAGTAGTCAAGGTAAAAAAGCGTGAGCCTGTAGAAGGGCCTCCAATCGAGGGAGATCAGGTGGAGCCCCCTTCTATAAGGGTAATTTGACTTATTTTTCCACGCTAGGGGAGAAATGCACTTAAGATATGTTATTGCGGCTTGCCACAAAAAAACCTAGAAACAAGCCGTAGCCTTGAGGGAAATAACCCAAATAGTTGAACTGTATATCTTGTACATACACACTCAGGTTGAACCAGTATGAATGTTCATTAGGATAGAAAAAGTCTTTATAAATCACAGGAGAGCATTCAATTATGGTATATCAATGATATCACTAATGTGATTCATACGTGTTAATACAGCTATATATTTACATCACGGAACATTGGGAGCTTTAAACTAATGTCTTACAGTCTGGAACACTACTGTACTGTATTTAGTTTTAACTACATCAATAATCCTAACACTGCTATACTAGTGCTCAATCTATTCTTAGTCAGTTGAACCACAGTGCAAACTCAAACTATAATCCCAACCCAAACTCTAGCATTAACTTGACCGATGCATTTTCTGGAGCCCAAACGCCGGCCACAGCTCAGCCCTCAATGTAACCTTTGCCCTCATCCTCCCACTAATCATAGCCATTATTTTGACCCTTGCTCCAATACTATCACTAGCCCTGATCGCCAGTCTCACTCTAATCCGAACTCTAATCCTAAGCCTATTTCCCCCATGTTAAGATTTAGATCAGTTTTCACTTTCAAAGCTCAGACAGAAACACATTAACGTTATCAAATGATGTGAACCTTGGTGACGATACGTATAGGGTGGCTCGAAATTATAATTTACTAAGATAAATGTACATTATTATTAATGTTTTAACATCAACATGCATTTGTCAAAATGTGAATGCACATTTTTCTGAAATGTATACAAATTAAGCTAAAGTAAGTTTTCAAATCGTTTGTTATTCTACACACATTTTAACGTGTCCTACAAACAGAATATTGTTTTCATGCACTTTTCATACGTAAAAAATGTAATGCAGGATGCTCTGTATGCATTATAAGTGTAATAATTGATTCTAAGCTGTGAATCAATGCATATTTACATTTTATCGTACTGTATCTAAAATATTAGATGCTTGTTTTTTTTAGTTATGTCTTGTAGACATTTACAGTACTTCAAAAGGTCCGTTTTGATGGACAGGTGGCACGTGAGGCAGTGCACGAGCTGATGGCACCTGTGATCCGCGTGCTGGAAATGCTGGAGGCTCTGGCTGTTCGGAACGGAGCGGACACTGAGTCCACTACGCTGCGAGAGCAACTGGAGTCAGCCAAGAGAGAAACCATTACGCTGTCCGCGAGGGACTCCCGGCACAAGCAGGTACATTGGGGCACGCTCGGTCCAGACTGTACTGTTGGCCCCATGGACATGGTAAAGAAAGGAGCGTGCACGTCAAAGTGTCTCAAACGAGTATTGTGTGGCTATCATCATCACCAGCTATGACCAATACACTGCTGGATGAAGGCATCTCCAAAACTGTCGCCATCTCTCAAATGTGTTACTCAACATTTATTGTCGATCGTAAACCAGCGGCTAAATTTCTAAATTATGTTGGCTGCCTACATAGTGGTACTTATTTTAAATACCTGAGAGGAATGATGGGCTGAGTCATCCTCTGATTTGGATTTTAAACGCACCAGCTTTTGATTGTGAATTGGGTGTTCTGCCACAGCATCACCTAGCCCAATCTGTTCCTAATTGTATCATTCGTTGTAAGTTTCCACAACAATGGAACAGAGAAAGAAATTACACCTACTTCATGAATTAATGAAAATAAACTGCTGATTGGTAAAAACTAGAAACTTGTCACTGGATCCCACAGATACTAAATTAATAGCTTGTGGTATTCCACGGTGTACATATGTTTGCCACGTGCCAATGTTGAAGTTGAGTATGAATGTCTCGTGCTGTATAAGGATCACTGCAAGCGAGTTTGCTCGGTGGCAATGTTTTTACAGTAACAATAGCCAAATACAAAAAGGCATTTGTAGATAGCAGTTAGTTGCAGACAGTATGAAACTCAGGCTAATATGTTTTGCTTTCCATCTCAGATGGGATTGAGATAAAGGCCACTTGACCTTCAGAAGCCCTTTTGTGCCAAATGGCTCAAATATCATCGGAGTATGTGCGAGGGATAGGTATCGAGATGGGCACCAGAATGTGGGTCAGTGATGTGGGCTTTGGTTTAGCGCTTGGAAAATATGTATGGGGAAACATCACTGAAACATGCTGCCGTTTAGTAATTCTGTATTAAATGAGCTGCTCGCATTTCTTAAGTGAAATATTATTCAAATGTGATTCTTAAAATTGTACGATTTTTTTTTTATTACAGAATTTTAAACACGATCAATCATTGCATTTTACTTAAATTATGACGTGAAAGGATATATATATTTTTGTTCCAATTGCATTCTGAAAAGAATGAGCCTTTTTTTTAGTTTGACCTGAAACATTTCATGAAAAACCTTGAAGATGGGCCAGTACTTTTTTGCAATTATGACATTGCCAAACCTTTCAATTGCAACCTAGATAACACTCGAGATACAATTATTGACTTTTGACATAATCCATTCTATAGCGTTTACCCATTGATAAGCATATTAACTGTCAGCACATATTGTGGACATAATTGGCATAAAGCATAATTTATCTACCAACAGAAATCGATTTCTTCTTGACACATCCTTGGCATTACCAGCTTGGGCATAACCAGATTTGATGCTCTGTAATTCTGTTGCTGGATGTCATGTAATCACGATTTACTTGCTCGTTTTGATGTTATGAGCCTCGATGATGTTGGGTGCGACACAACTCAATGTGGAGCGAGCTATTCCCAGTGCAGGCAGCTGAGGGCTTCTGGCTTGACGGATGTGTCGTTTATTGTGTCAAAAATAGCCTTGGATGCTGTAGTTTAAATTTGCATTATGTTCAACCAAGCCGAATGGTTCAAAACCACAGCCTTGTTTCATCTTTTGCAAACCTGTCGATTAATCTATCACATGCCGCATATAGTTGCTGCTCTTGTGTGGATATGTGGCTTATTCATTACTAGGGAGTTGCAATGCATTTGTCACTGTTGCGTTACTTAGACTGAGCACGTGTGTAATGTTATTATATTTACAGCATTGTAAAAGTTTGCCACACTGAGTTGTTTATTGAGGTACAGTATAGAATTTCCTGAAATGATTGTAGGCAGACCAGTGGTTAGGTTTGAGGTTGTGATCAATGTAGCAATGTATTATATGGTATATAAGAGGTTTCTTGAAGAAAAATAAAAAAGGCATGTGAAGGCCGGTGCGTCAACTTAGCATCACTCTACAACACATTATGTATCTCGTATGGGAAGCAATGGATTATCTCTTGTAAGATGAGATCTCGATCCACTGCTTAATTTGACTATACTTCACCATTGGTCAGTGCTGATTAATGTAGTAATGAGCCCAGGACCAGTTCATTTATCACTTGCCGCTATTGTTAGCCACGGCAGGAAATCTTACTCAGATCGCCAGGTTCGTAGCGCGGTGCGCTAACCACTGCACCGCTGCGCCTCCTAAATAGATTACTTTAGCTAGAAAAACATTAAATTCTCCATACATTGTAGGAATGTAGGAATATTCAGTGTGGGTTTCAGATCTGTGACAATGAAGTTTCAGTGAGAACACATAGGTCACATGGTAAAATGCATGCTGTGTGCTTAACTGGTGGAGAGAAGTGGCTTTAGAATTATATTATACTTATAGTACTCACACATCTACACTAACCCACTGTCATTATTTTCCAGTGCGCTTTTAATGCATTACCATATTTCACTGTAGTTTTCATCTAAATATGATGTTAAGTTATTTAATCGTGAAAATATTCGAACAGGAAAAGACAAATCAGAATACACTGTAAAAGGTTGATGATGTTTTCAGTATTTTGAGCAATTGTCCTTATCCAGATTTCCAAAATGTTGGAACTGTTCTAAATAATGTACTGCATTGCTAGTTTAACTAACCTACGCTATTAAGTGATATGTAGCGACCCATTTTGGATGAAATCTTAGCTCATGTTCATTTAAGACATTTTAGCCATCCTTACCAGGTGCATACAGCAATGAACATACAATTTAGATTAATAAAGTAATTCACTTGAATTTTCTTGCACTTGAGGTTCATGAAAAAAATTGAACAATAAAAGATGGAAGGGGATACTCTTTTAATGACCAAAGTATACATTTTGTAAATGCGTTCTACACGGCCGTAGTCATTTAGGTTGGTATGCTGCGAGTTCGTAAACTAGTCAAGGGTTGAGTCAGCTCATCATCCAGACTGGGTCTTTGAAATGAATATTGTACCACTATGTTGGAAGTCTAGAGTGATTGTCACATGAAGACTGTTACCAGCCATGCATACATTATTTTATGTGTGTCAATGAAGATGAGGACAATGCAGCCAGCGAAGGCCCAATCTTTGCAGAGCACCTTATTCACATTCGGATTGCAATTGCAAATTCTGGTTAGTGGTCAGGAAACTGACCCCCATCATCCTGTCATTGGTTGTAAAATCTGTACTACGTTGTGGGAAGCCAACAGTCGACATATCTTGGAAATATTGACCCCCACGATGGGAATGTGGAATTTCCACCACTGGCTCGGGGCCACCAATGGAGATGAGTGCCACCCAATCCTCATCTGAGCAAGGGCACACTTAGTCCTAATGTTGAATGAGACAATACTGCATTGACAAGAAGGAAGACAACCTAGTGCAACACAGTTAGATGGTAGGGACCCAAGGGTTTCCCCTTAGAGACCTTTGCTGGTGTGAGTTGTCACAACACTGTTAACAAGCATAGTCAATTGTGTCTGAGCCAGAGTGTCCGTGACCTAATTAACCTCCCCGTGGAGGCTGTGTTCACTGTGGCACATGGTTACCTGGTAAACACACCACAGTGTTTACAGGTCATGGCCACTGGCCTGTATCAGGCTATTCATCAGTCCCTGTTTTAACTGTCTTTAAGCATATTGAGACCTCTCTAAAGTAAAAATAATTACCAAAATAAGAAATTGGTGTTTTATGAAAGTGTACATTTTTGTTGAGATGCCTTGTTATATTTCATAAATAATAATTTACAGCCATATGATAATTTACTGCCAGGTGAAGACCTCTCCGCATCATGTCGATCATTGGGGTTGTTTCACCAAACAACGTGGCCAATGTTGGTTGTTGATGTGGGGGTCCATGGACTGGCTTCGATTGGCCACCGATTAGCACGGTTGACTACATACGGTGCGAAAGAAATTCAACATACATACATTAAACCATGTAAGCCATGTTGGTATATTGTTTCTGTTCTCTCATGGGTTGCGACTGTAAAACTATGCTCACAGTAATGGGGGTCCTTGTATCTTTCGGTGGTACTTCCTACAAAATGACTTTGGAGCCTTTATAGAAGTTACAGTTTGGCAGCCCCGAATGACAAAGAGTTTTTAATTATAAAAAAAATATGGACAATTTGTCTACCGTATTGGGAAAATTTTGACAATATTAATGGCAGCTGGTCTTGAAGACCACTCTGCTGCTTGTAAAGTGAAACTGTATTGCTCTGTGTCTTTGCCGACTCTTGGCCTATCTGTTGACAGGAGCTGGAGTTGGTGGAGACGTACTGGAGGGAGAGGGAAGAGGAGATGCTGGGTTGCATGACGGAGCTGCAGGAGGAGAACCGCAAACTGGACAGCGCTTTACGTCGACGGGACACCGACAATGCCGACACCGAGGTGGAGGAGACGCAGGCGGAAGGTGGGCAGGACCAGGATCAGGCCACTCGCTCCTATTCACACGAGTGTAAATTAGCCATGTAGCGATTTCATGGCCACGATTTGATAGATTCTTCGTCTTGTTTTTTCACTTTCTTCTTTGTATCGTTTCTTCTTTTTTGTTTCGTTTGTACAGTTTTATTTGCTCCATTGTCCTAAACGAACCATTAACATATCGCTTGCACAATTTCGGTTCGTTAGAAATTGCGAATTTTCACACGCATGATTCAATGCATGGATCGTGACCGTAAGAAGCAATTTTATTCGAGACACCTCTACACACCTAGTAGAAAATAATAAAGGCTGCAAAAACTTGTTCCACCACATAGTCCGATTTAATAGAGCGAAAGGACAACGTGGTGGTACGAGCGTGCACCAATCACCACTGAGCCAACAAACTCTTTCCTGCAGCAGACCGGTGATGTCTTCACCGAGTTACAGACTCTTTTGTCAGCTGTAGAGTGTACATTAAACACTTCTATGCGCAAGAACAGGTCATTGCGTGCTGGTGCCAAAGCCTGGCTATAAAGGGTAAAGTAAACAGTGTATCGTTTATTACGTTTAATTCACACACACAACTGCAATTGGTGTACTGCTAAGGTTAATTTAAATAGTCCTTGCCATTGGGAAAATGTTACATTGGGCTGTGAATGTCATATGGTCCTCATTTGTTTTTTCATAGCCTCCTGGCCAAAGGTCACAGTTTATTGTCAGATAAATTGAACTTCAGATTTACATTGGGCCCAGACAAAGCTGGTCAAAAAAAAAATCGTCACAACCGAATAATAATATTTTCTTCCAAAGAAGAATGCAAAATTACTGGCAGATGGGCATTCATTAGGCTAACGCTGATAATTCACGAGGACATTTTTATATAGTCACGTAATATTATTTACCTGTATTCCCCCTAAAATATGTCACCTTGAACTAATTATGTTGAGGGAGAGTGGAATTCCACAAGAAAGGGACAGAGATGGAAATGCCACCGTGGCATTTATCAAGCGAGTCAGTGTCTTCATGTTTAAGGAGCAATGGATGACGCATAGGTTAAATAGTGGTGCTGTGAAACGATATAAATTACACATTGGAGACCAATCTTTTCCATAGTGCAGCCACTGTTGACTTCCCACAAAGTGGTACTCATTTTATCCACATTCTATGGATTATGGGTTGTCCCCAGCCTGAGGTGCTGGGAGCAGCAGCTACTAGAATCTGAGTTTGTAGCGAAACTTTGAAGCAATGGCAGAAATAATGTGCTTTTATTTACTACATTGAGGCTTTGATTATAGGAAATACAAAATTGCCCCCACGTGTGTAATAGGTGTGATAGCAGTTACCATTTCTGAATAGCGCAGTGACAGCATTTGTTTGCAGTGTTTTGCCGCAGGTAGAGATGGCATAAAATGTCAAGTTATGCATTCCCTACATGCCTAGCAAGAGGGACGCACCCACGAAGTTCCAGTGAAAACTACGTGAGCATGCGGGGTTATTATTTTAGCCCTGACAAATGGCCAAATGCTGCACCCTTTAACTTGACACATCCTAAACCTCATATGCTGCAACCCTTTTACATTGATACACGTGTCACAGAGCTGAAACTTTACATTGGGATTGCAGCTTTTGTGGCACAGAATTGTACCTTTCGGTTTTCTATATTGTGTAATATGCAATACCTTAAGGTGTCATAATCATGCAAAGACATACTGCTCGCAACATTTTAGAGAAAACAGTATTTGATTCCAAAGTCTCTACATATATCCCAACAATCCCGATACACTTACTAAAAAGTTTTACACTCAATTGTATTATATAAGGAGCCACGGTTTTGACGATATTCACCATGTTCAATTTCCTGTTGTTTTAAAAGTATCGAGGGTTATATATATTAGAAAAAAATCAGTGGGGTAGCTATAAATGTATCACCTTGTAAATGTGACTGTACAATATGGAAGCATTTGCAGTGGTTTGTGGAGCACTTGAAGGCTCAGATACGGTAATTAGCAGACATTAAATAGCTCGATTGCAAAGACTGAACGTAACTTATCCCTGTGGCTATGAGCCCCATGGAAAAGCTATCCGACTTGACTTACAGTGGGCCACGTTACAGACCTTTTGATCCTGAGAAAATATTTAGAACATTAGTATGGAATATGTGGCAATAAAAACAACATAACTTTATACGTAGTCTTTCATGACTAATATGATTTGTAATTGGTTTATTTTGGGTTAGGTCATCATGTAGAAATGTGTGTTGTAAAACCCTCCTCCAGCCGACACTGTGAATTCACAGAAGTGTCACGCGAATCAAGCTTGCCGATGTATTACTGCTTCAGCAGCACTGCCCGGTGTTGTTGTTGGAGAGTAATTATCTTAACGACATTTAAATGGATGTCACGTTTCACTGGAGATTACATCCAGCCTATTCAGGTCGTTAACAGGGGCTCAGGAGCTCAGTTTATACATTTGCCGCTTTTGATTCACGTGACAATTTTATTGATTGGCTTTTTGATGGATGGAGGAGGTTTTCACGCACATTTTTACACAACCTAACCCGAAATAAACATCTTGACTTCAAGCTTTCGTGACTGCAGGAATTCATATTCTTTGGGCCTTTTGGTAAATTCACGTAGATAGGTTGAAAAAAAATAACAACCTATCTACGTGACTTTACCGAAAGTCCCAAAGAATACCAAAAGAAACAAATTACGAATAATAAATATGACGTAGCATATTAAAGATGCAATGTGAATCCTTAACAATGCTGATCATAAATTTGCGCTGTGGTCTATTAGTATCCTGATTGCTTTATTGGAATGTGCTCTTTTGAAGTGCTCCACACACATCATCATAAATGGCCAATACAGTAATGATGGTGCTGCACTTTTATAAATGTATTCAAAATAGCAGACAACAGGGTAAAACAAAAACAAAACGACTGACCTGCTCTGCATGCTGCAAGGATGCCTTTTCTGGCATCTTGCTTTTACAATTGGGCCTCATATCTGAAGGGTCGCCTGTAATGTGTTTCCCACATTAATCTTTCAGGTTTGACTGAGAAGGAGCGGGACGTGATGATCAAACTCAAGGAAGTTGTGGACAAGCAGCGGGATGAGATAAGAGCCAAGGACCGGGATATCAGCCAAAAGAATGAAGACGTGGAAGCGGTAAGTAGCGATGTGAATGCGGGACATGTTTGGGTAGAGGTCTAATGATCATCAGCAATGATCTATGTAAAACTGGATCAAGGCCCTCCTCTGCCGTCACAATTTTCTTACGCTCTTGCGATGCCACAATCCATCTATCTCACTCCTGCAGGAGCAGATCTCCATCGCTTCATCTTCGTGGCGGTCGTTTTCTCTCGCGCTTTCTCTCCTGTTGCTGCCATTCTGCCACCAGTCCTTGTCTATCAACCATCATCCCATGAGCGATGTGTCCTGCCCAAAACCCACTTCCTTTTCTTACCAGTCAATACGATGTCTTCTCCTATTTTAGTTTCTTCCCTGAACCACTTGCTCCTCTATTCATCTCGAGCATAATTCTAACATTCGCCTCTCCGTACTTGGCACACCTTTTTTTTTGCTTTTGTTCCATTTTCTTTGTCAGTATTGATGTTTCTGATCCAATAGTCACAGTGGGTAATATCATTTGGGGTTCGACTTTCGAAGTGAGGACTGCGGCTCTCAAATGAATAACGCCGCCCCCGTGGTCTCCCCCATTGTGACACGTGGATCAAACAAATCACTCGAGACTCCGGCGTACGGCAGCCAAGAGCAGGTCATGCGAACGCTGTCGCAAGAGGTCACACGTTTGATGGAACGGTCCTTTGCTGACTATGCATGATGAATGAATGAATATTTTTTTGAAGGCTGTCTTCCTTAGATAGAATGTATAATTAAATTTACGTTTTCAAAAACACTCAATCCTGCTCTAATTTTCCCTCTTTATTTCATAATCTGGTCCTTTTTCCACCTTCAGTAATTACCTATTCTGCTCATTTTGCAATTGTGTCCTTACAACTGGTAATGTCTTACCTGCCCTGCATTTTAAACCACATTGTATTCCTGGCAATCGATTTAAATGCTTCAAATTTGTAAACTTAATTACGATATATTTTGAAACAGGTATTGTATGATTGTTTAGATTTCAATGTGAAATCTATTTGTCAAATTCTGTTATATTTTTCAGACTAAATTATTTCCTTAATTAAAAAAAATGTAGTAATTATCGGGAGGAATGAACCACGCACAAGTTAAAGAATGTCCATACATACTTTTTGGTTTTATTCGGTAAAGTCACGTAGATAAAATAAAACAAAATAAAAGAAACAATTTGTGTTTTATTTTACCTACGTGACTTTACCGAATAAAACCAAAGAGTATGAATCCTTGCAGTCACGAAAGCTTCAAATCTAGAATTAATGTCCATACAAGTGAATATAAAACGGTTACCTTAAATATATTTACACATTGCATATGAATGAAATTTACTTTTTGTACAAATCATATTTTGCTCGTTTGTACATAGTTAGACTTTTATGTTGCCAAGCAATAAGCACAACTGATGATATCAAATAAGGGGAAATCATACATAGGGTCCTGCCTATAACGTCAGTTGGTGAGGTGCATTGTTTCTGCCACTGGGAATCGGAATGGAAAACTTAAACGGTATGAATGGAATCTGGATAAGTGTCTGCAAAGCTTCAGCCAGAGCTTTTTCAAACATTGTTAAGAATTCTAATGCTGCTTGTGGCTGTGTAGGGTTATTACCATGTTAACATGCCAGTGCAAGCACTGTCTGACATTTCTTCTGAGCTTGGAGTTAGTTTCATTTTGAAAATGAACTTCATATCCGAAAGTGCACACATGCGTACACACAACTGCATAAGCCTGTGAGCTTGGTTTATTTTCTAAGTCATATTTTTAAATAATATCGCCATTTTCCACTGTTTACTGTGCCAAACTGCGTTGGCAATTTACCAACACTCACTACATGTACGGGGATGCAGATCCACAGCAAATCTCCTTTGTACTTGCTCATTTTTATATGTGTCCAGAACAAAAGACTATTGTTACTACTGCGCATATGTTGCTGATGTGCTGTACAGCTCTCCGATATGTTGTTCGGCATCATGTCCGACGTTTCCCTCCACCTGCTGGGAGCTTCGACAGGAAGTTCCTGAGCATCCACAGGGAGGGCAATACTACTTCAGGAAGTTCCTAAAAATAAACTCTCGGTGCTGGGCATGGTGCCGAAAAGCACACGGTACAACCCAAAAACACATCACTTTTGTTTCAACACTTTGTTGCTTCTGAAGCATGTATCGCTGCGAGTATACTTTCACAAGTGGTTAATTGTCAGACCTTTTAGATTGAACCAGTTGGATTGTGATAAGACAGCGGACACAAAATAGGAGCACGTCGTCAGTTTTGACACACGTAGAAAATTTATTGGGCGAGGCAAGGCTGGAAAGTTTCTACTCTGTTTCCACAAAAATTCATGTTCAGAACTGGGATTTTTTTTGATGAGTGTGGGCACCCACAGGGGGAGAGAGGCACAATTTCAGCAGGATGGCATCTGGCAGGGCACGCTCGCATGCTGTTGCAGTAAGGGCAGATGTGTCAGTTAATCCCCTTTCTGATGCGCTGCTGCTCCTTCACTTTGTACTTTCAAGCCCGATTCCATTTCCCTTCTGCTGTGCAACGTTTGGATAGTAATCACACTATTCTGGGATTGACCAAATAGGATGAGCAAAATCTTGACCACGGGGAAAGTCACTGAGGTTATGGGGTAGGTTTGGGGACATCTTTGATGGTCCATGCCTTTACCATCCAACGCAACCATGGGCTAATATTGATGGGCTTGACATTGGCAATTCAGTAAAATAGCGAATATAAAAGTTTGTTTCCGTATTTGTACGTATGTTGAACTTCTTTCGCACCTTACATAGTGAACCGTGCTAATCGGAGGTACGGGGGGAAGGACAACTAAACGCAAAAAGCAATTACAACTCACTCTATTGGCAGTTTCTAAAGGTACAGTGAGTGCACAGCACTGGTTTAGCGTTACACGTTTGAGCTAAAGTTAGCCGGGAGATCGCTGCATCGGCTACTCACGCTGGTGGCTCGCTCGCTGTGATCTCACCATCCATCATAATCGCTTGAGTCATAGTCCACACAATTACTGAACGCGGAACTGATTGGGACAGGCTGTTACGTTTGAGGGAGGCGTGTGGGGACACGTGCTTAAGAGACTACATTGGTGGGGCGGATGTGGGGGGGTGCCTTTAGAGAGCTGCCAACCTCAAGCCTCTGATCTCCCCAACGAGTTCAACATAAAATAAGTACTGTACAGTAGCAGCGACGTCTTCTTGTGAGGGCCAGCTCGGGAAAAGTCGAAGCTCTGCTGTTGCAATCTTGAAGTGTGTGTCATAGTTTGAGTGTAGTTGCCGAGTGTAGCTTTGTGGGGAGCGGTGGTGTAGTGGTTAGTGCGCTGCGCTACGAAACCCGGCGTCTCGAGTTCGATTCCCGCTCACGGTCAACACCGGTGACAATTATCTGAATCGGTCCTGGGCTTTTTCCCTAGGTCGACTGAGCCTCAAATGAGTACCTGGTGCGGTGTGTAAAACATCGCCACTAGGGAGACAAAGGCGGCCGAGCGTGGTGATGGCCACCCACTCCCTCGTGTGCCGTGTTGGCCTTCATAGGTGCTACTCGATAACAGCACTTGCCCCAATAGTCTGTTAAGGCAGTACGGGGGGTATTTGTCTTTGTTTAGTTACTGATCAATTGAATTCTCGAGGCTCTGTTTTTCCAAAATAGGTTATGGCACACTTGCCCGTTGTCATGGAGAATGTCTTGATGAAGCAAATTTTTGCTCGGGCAGGATGAACTTGGCAAGAAATGTTTCCCAAAGACAAGGGGCATTTGTGACAATTGTGTTTAAAAAACGACGTCAAATGGCGGTATGCCATCGTGGCATGTGGATTGTCGATGTGAATGCAATCGTTGCGTTCAGTGTCGTTGCAAACAGAGTTCTGACCACAAAAGCCTCGCTTACCGACAAGACGGAACTTGCTCGGTGTGCTTTGGGGCCTTTATTGCTATGACTGCACTCTCATTCCGGGGATGCTCTCGCGAGTGATATCACTGGACCACTGCTGTAAGGTAAAACATCCTGGGCATTTCTTAAGTCAATCAGGATGCTGCTGAGTTGAACGTCCGAGAGATGACTTCACTGAAGACGAGACGTTGAATACAACACGTCATCTTCCGTTCAACGGTATGTAGTAGCAGTGTGCAAAAGCCGCAATTCAAAACGCAGCAGCGAGCCCAGCTCCCTTCGTGGCCGAGGACTTACGACACGCTTGAGTGACTTGGACCGCATTCAACTCCAGATGAGGTCATTACATTCAAAGTGGTGTATAACATGAACTTTAGCCGCTGTTTTGGCAGAATAAAAAGACAAACACCTTCTTATATGGACCTCCTCCAGATCACATGGCTCTGTGGCATAAGTGTGCTGAAGGGGTTTCTGGTTTTAAGCCATTTTATGACACGTGCCTCGCTAAATCACCCGAATTTATACGTCAAATATTGGCCATGCCAATTGGTCACTGAAAGAGATCAAGTTACCAGCAACATTTATTATGAAACATTTAAGAGAGAACTGAAAGTCGAGTGGATGGCGTGAATTATTCACTCGGTGCCTCTTCGTTACTGCTCTATGACAATGTAATGTTTAAATAGAAGTTGAAATGAACCCATGAACAAGCTGAAGTTTTTCCGTCATGCTCTCCGAGCCGAGCCGCGCATGCACAAGTGCGCTGCATGTACACTTGGCCAATGGCTAGCGGCGGTGTGTGAACGTACTCTCCAGTCTGTGATGCCGCATGTGCACAGGCTGTGACGAGCTATTTCCCACAGCGGACCGTTTCCATTCTGCCTCTCTGTGGGGGGGGGGTGGGCACTAAAGGATGCATCTTGTATTTCAATTCATATTTTTTTTTCTCCCGTGTTCAGTTCAATGACTAATACAATCAACATTTGAAAAAGCAAAAAAAAACTTCGCTTCCACACACCTGCAATGTCACGGTCCGTTTTTTGTTGTTGTTTGTTAACGCTGGTGGGGGGGCAGGATGGCCCACGATGTTAATGTACAATCGTTTTCATAAAACGGTGAAGTACAAAGGTGGTCAGGTGCCACGTTACTGTTTGTGGAACGTCGTGCAGTCACTTATTTTTGTGTGTCACTCCGGGGAGGGTAAAAAAAGGTATCCAACAGATGCTCTAGCCGGAAAGGCTGCTGAACGGGATTGTGCTGTCGTTGTTAAGCGGTCATTGGGAAGATAGAGTAACTGTTTAGAGAGAAAAGAGGATGAAGGCAACGTTTTGTGTGTAGGTATGTGCGTTGAACTTATTTCGCACCGTGCGTAGCCAACCGTGCTAATCGGAGGTACACATCCGCAGTTTTAAGGGCATTATATAATGAAAATATTATCCAGTTCACGTTGAAATTATAGCTATACTGCTGAATTGTGCGGTGTTGGTTTTCTTTTCACGAGTGGCACCTTAAGGATTTGTGTTTATTGCAGCTTGTTGGTAGTTACTGTACTTCAGGCATTCATGTGCGTTTGTAAGCTTTGCACAGTGAATACAGAGGCATAAAGCCAAGCAGATAAAACAGTTATTTAAGTTACTTAAAGGGGTACACACGACTATAACAACTCACTAAAATAACAAGATACAAATAGATAAAACGATTAAAAAAAGACTCGATCTGTGCAAGCGGGGCAGTCCAGACAGCGATAGAGCAAATGACAACATTCGGCGGGGAGCAGGAGGTGAGGGAGGAGGTGAGGAAGGAGATGGAGGAGGAGGAGGAGGAGGTAGAGCTGCCGACCCTGCTCGACACGGATCCCACGGATCTGGACGTGGACGACGTGTACTCCATCGCGGCCATGGTGGGCAGGGATTTCGAGCAGATGGTGGCGCACGGCGGCTCTTTCCAAGTGGCCCAGTTAATGCCCAAAGTGGTGCGCGTGCTCGAGATCTTGGAGGTGCTGGTCGCGAACAGCCAGGCCCGCGGTGATGGCCCGGGGTCCGCCGAGGGGGGCGCGTCGTCGGATGACGAGCAGGTGGGTGCCTCGACCGCCGTGCCCGCTGGGCGTCCAGGGGTCACGGCGTTTGTGGCGATGTGTGACGGGGCTGGGATGATTACCGAGGAGCGTAGGCGCGTGCAAGTGTCGTGGCATGATGCTGCAAAGAATCACTCCAGGGGGATGTGTGTGTGTAGGTCGAAGTTGTGGGGAGCGGTAGTGTAGCGGTTAGCGCGCTGCGCTATGAACCTGGCGACCCGGGTTCGATTCCGCTCACGGCCAACACCAGTGACGATTATCTGAACCGGTCCCGGGCCTCCCCTAGGTCAACTCAGCCTCAAATGAGTACCTGGTGCGGTGTGTAAGCATCGCCACTGGGGAGACAAAGGCGGCCGGGCGTGGTGCTGGCCACCCACCCCCTCGTGTACCGTTCCGGCCTTCATAGGTGCTCACAAACAGCACTTGCCCCTACAGTTTGTTAAGGCTATATGGGGGATCTTTAGCTCTGTCTTTTGTAGGTCGAAAAAGCCCTCAAATGGGTAACGGAGCGGTAGGTTAGCGCGCTGTGCTATGAACCTGGCGACCCGGGTTCGATTCCCGCTCACGGCCAACACCGGTGACGATTATATTTATCTGAACTGGTCCTGGTCCTCCCCTAGGTTGACTCGGCCTCAAATGAGTATCTGGTGCGGTGTGTAAGCATCGCCACTGAGGAGACAAAGGCGGCCGGGCGTGGTGTTGGCCACCCACGCCCTCGTGTGCCGTGCCAGCCTTCATAGTCTGTTACAGGCTATACGGGGGATCTTTGCCTTTGTATATGTGTGAACATTCGGATGAGGCATGGGCAATTGATGTGACGCTTGTGTTTAGGTTGGAGACGCGGTATTAAACGTTTTTGGTACTTCTGATGTTAATATCAATTTTACATTGCCTGTAGACCAAAATTGGTGGGATTTTAGTCTGTCATTACAGTCACTTACAGCGAGCATGGTTTTAGTCGACAGAGCATAGTTTACTTTCATAGCCTCTTCCATCATTCGTCATTTATTGGTTTTGTTGTGTATTTAAGTTCGATGTCATTTGTTTAAAGAAAATTAAGACATTTAAAATGACTTGTCCGTTTTCACTTGGTGAGGTAATTTCCTAGCGCTGCCTTTAGGCATTCAAACCTGTCGTCTTGATTCTCACACTACGTTAAGTATGGTAACAAAAATTGAAATAATATTATCGCACATTTAGTTTATGCGCTGTGTATTGCGAAAATATTTCCCCATGGAAAGCCTCGTGTGTGGGGTGAAACATCTCATTTGCATCGGAATCCTGAGCAAATCAACAGAGGAATCCGCGGCAGATGGAATTTAAACAGCAATTAAAACACGTTAAAAGGCACGTAACAAAAATAAGGTGAACACATTACTGCAATGCCAGAAACACTGAAATTAGCCGCAGATTCTCACCGATGTTCACAATCGCATGACGGTGGGTTTAATGTTTTGTGAATGTCAGCGGGTAGGGTATTCCATGCATGTGCAACTCTGTAGATGCGATTCAACACTGGTGAGACCACCTGCAGTAGCACACACAAAGCAACGATGATCGGCGGTGGCCTTCTGAAACACGGCCGTTGCCCAAACATGTTATCGCCGACTAAATAAATGTATTTTGTCATAAGGCTGTTGCTTAGCACTCCGTTGTCTTGCTGGGTTGTTTCGCCTGTCCTTTTTAGCATCATGTCCGACATTTCGCTCCATGTGCTCGGAGCTTGTTAGGGTAACGTCGGACGTCATGCCGAACATCACGGTGCGAGTACAACCCGAAAAAGACATCGGCTATATAACATGACTGCTAAAGCCTATGCAAGCGGTAAAGGGTTTCGTTAATGTTAATTACAATAAACTTGGTTCGAAGCTTTCGTGACTGCAGGAATTAATCTTTGGTTCTTTCGGTAAAGTCATGTATAAATAAGAAATAATAAAATAACATAATAGCGTACGACGTTTCGGTTGCAACACAAGCAGCCATCATCAGGTACAGAAACGCCGTACGCTATTATGTTATTTTATTATTTCTTATTTATACGTGACTTTACCGAAAGAACCAAAGATTAGTTACAATATTTGAGGGGGGTTTATTTGGTGTTTGTACACCACTTATTTGAAGTATTGTAGTTAAGATTGCCTTGTGGCCACAATGCTCCATTGTAAGAGATGGTCCCGGTTGGCGTAGGGGTCAGAGTACTCTACGGGCAACATTGAGACCCGGGTTTGAGTCCTGGGCAGCCACCGATGATTATACTGGGTTCTCGTAGGAGTAGTAGTGAGTTTATGCTGTCAGCCCCATCACCAGAGACTGGAAATATACTCTCAGTCACATTAAAGTTTGTGTTTCACTTTGGCTACATTCTAGCTATTAAAATGCATATATTGGTTGCACTGCCATGCAATGGACATTTTTCAGCAGCAGGGTATGTGGGAGCTACCCCTCCCCCCTCACCCCAGTGTATGCATTAAAAGGGTCTTTGAAGGTATTACAGAATTAGTTCAGTGATAAACATTCACGCACCATTCTCTAATATATGGATACACTGCTCATTGTGAGAGTTGTTTAATGGAGACTCACCTCATGACGTGACGCCGCTCGCGCAATTGTAATATTTCCGGGGAAAATATTTGTTTTAAAGTGCCATTGTCACACCGATGATGAAGAATACTGATGGAATTGTGAAAGCCTTTGGAACGTGTCCAAGAGGACATCCACCAAGGAGATGGAGTGATAGAATCACCTCGTGCTTGAGGCTTTCGTCCAGCGGTGGATTGCCCACAGCTGGCGACGGTGCGATCGTCACACGCGTGTGTCCGTGCCTTCCGTAGCTGCAGCAGCAGCTCTCGCGGCTGATCAAGATCAACAACGAGCTGCGGCACAAGCTGGCCGTGATGGAGGCGCAGGGGAAGTCGCTCATCGAGCAGAAGGTGGAGCTGGAGGCCGATCTGCAGTCGCGCGAGCAGGAGATTGGGCGCCTGCGCGAGACGGCGGCGAGCGTCGCCAGCGCCTTCCTGGAGCAGAGCGAGTGCCAGGAGGGCGCGGTGGCACACCACCCCGGCACGGGCGAGGACAAGGTACATGAAGCCCTCTGGAGGCTCGCTTGCTTTATTTGTGTATTTACTACAATTCCTGGGCCAGTGTTTGATAAACGGCAGTTCGGTTGAAAAAAGTATGCTTACAATGTGGATTTTTGTTGTTTGTTGTTGTTGTTACCTGCTTCTCCACAACTCTGACTGTCACCTGATGAGGCTGGTTGTAATTACGGGCGAAGCGCCGTACTCGAATGCTAAATGTTGTGGGTTTTCTCTCCAGCACACCGGTGTGCTGAACTAGTAACGAATTGGAATGTTTGTTTACGTGACAAAACTTACCGATTGGCTGTGTCAGGTGGTGGCGGATTTAATGACACATTGATATTTACGCGATCTAACCCAAAAAACGCCCCTATCATGGACCTGAACACGCTGCCTGTACTTTTCGTCGCCAAATACCTCCACACCCCAGCCCTCGAGAGGTTTCCTTTGCTCATTTGTGTTGGTGCTCTTACAATTGCTGGACCAGTGTTTGATAAACAGCAGCTCAGTAGAAAATTGTGCTTGCAATGTTGATTTTGGTTGTTACCCGAACACGTTCCCCGTATTTTGGATTTGTCGCCAAATATCGCCGCACCCCCCCGGCTTTTGTCAAAGCCAGGGTGTACACCGACTCTCTCGGCGTTCCCCTTGGGTCGTTGTGCATCCAAATGCTGGTTGCTCTTGCATCACTTGACCAGTGTTGAATAAACAGAGACTCGGTAGAATTCTTTTTCCGAGCATGTGGAATGTTTTTTGTGACCTAAACACGTTAGCCGTTGTTTGGATTTTGTCGCCAAATATTGCGATCAGGTTCTTGCATTTCAGGGTTAGGCATCAGGCAAAAGTGTGACCTCTTAACTTTCTACACCCAGGGCCCAGAAAAGGTTCTTGTAGGCTTTAGTGATAATTTTTTTCCAGTTGGCACTGCCCGTGGTGCTCTCCTTGCACTGTTGTCTGTTGAGAGAATGAGATAATGCGAAAAACACAATTTGAAGATGTTATTGCTAATTTTGCAATGAAGAAATCTCGAAAAGTTTATCTCCGGCATTAATTTTTCTCACCTTATGAAGAAAAACTATTGAGATTGACATGACTCTGCCTTTTTTTTTATTATACACTGCGTTAATCCTTGCTACATATAAATATATTTATTCGAGAAATATCTTGGTAAAAATTTGTATCATACAAAAAAAACACATGGTAAAAAAATTCCCATAGGCACCTTTAGTTTTTGTAGGCCCCTAGGCCCGGTCCCCACTCTGCCCATTGGATAATACGGCGCTGTCTACACCAAGACAATTGACCCTGACTCGTAACTGCTCATGATGTCGCCTTATATCAGCAAACAGGGTGGTGATCCTTCACGCCGTGCGCAAACGTACGCATTGCCTCAGAGCATTATGGGTTGAATCATATATATATGCAACGCTCTGTCCTGTGTCTCCACACATAAATAAAAACATACTTGTAGTCCTTTAGCCTCTTGGTTTTCCACACAAATATTATCAGGCAGCATTTATTTTCGGCGAGTAAACTCTGTACTGGGTTCCCATCTTTCAGGGTCTCATCAGCAGGGTCACGTTTGGTGAATGCTGCTGGATTACCAGAGGTTATTGGCGAGAGCATCCATGTGAACCGTGGGACCCGTTCAACACACTGCAGTGTGATTCGCCCATGCATCTGACATGCCATTGCCTGCTTGACTGACTATATAGGTTGTAGCTGGCAGAAAAAAAAAAACGCATTGACTTCAGTTGCTTAATATTATATATTTTCTTCTTGTGCAGCCATTGGCGACAAGGCTTTGATCGTCAACTGTGAAGCACAGTTGAGATGTTTTATAATTGGTGACTGATTCACAAACGTCTTGTTTCACAGGTTGGCGATGATGGTGCTGTTGTGTTTATGTCTTGCTTGAGTATCACATAACTGGAGCAGCACATTATGTGATTTTTCTTCTCTTAAACAGCTTTCATTCTTCCCTGGGGTAGAGGATGAAGAAGATGAAAGTGTGGGTAATGAGTCTAAACTACTTACCAAGAGCTCTGATTGACTGCCTTGCTAACATTAACGTGGTGCAATACACATCAGCATTATGAGACCTCCTTTGCCAGTAGTAAGATATAGTAATAGGTTTTTACCTTTTATCTGGCACCAAAACTGACACCTTTATACAAGGATCATGTTTGCAATAACCACAACACAAGCAGTCAAATTGCAAACATGATCCCTTGTATAAAGGTGTCAGTTTTGGTGCCAGATAAAGGGTACAAAACTTATTACAACACACATCAGCATGTTTGCCATTAACACAGTGGGCATTAGAAGCACATCAACTCGGTTGTAAAGATGAAGGTATAACCTACTTAAAATGTTTCATTATTTTCTTTGTCTATCCAGGAGAGCCTTACTGAGTCCTGGGACTTTTGTTTTCAGGAGGGTCCTTCATTTAATATTTGTCTAGACTTATCTCCATATATAAAAGGCAAAGTTGTGATTATGTGTGTTTGTTCAAAATGTTTAGCGTACTTCCCGACATGCAACAAACTTGAAATTTGCCAATGTGGGTACTTTCCATACTCTACACCATGCAAAAATTATAAAAATAAACTTTTTTTGGGGGGGGGGAGGGGAGAGCTCAATAATGCATATAATTTTTGCATGGCAAGTGAGCTGAGGTCAAATCTGTCACGTGACCCGCGCATGTGGAAGCGTAACGCATTGTAGTGTAGTGATTAGCGCTACGCTGCGCTACGAACCCGGCGACCCGAGTTCGATTCCCGCTCTCGGCCACCACCGGTGAAGATTATTGTAACCGGTCCTGGGTCTCCCCTAGGTCGACTCGGCCTCAAACGAGTAACTCGTCTGGTGTGTGAACATCGCCACTGGGGAGACAAAGGCGGCCGGGCGTGGTGAATCCAAGTCCCGGGCGAAGCCGGGTAGTAAAGCTAGTATGGAATATAAAACTAGAGTATCTGCAGAAAATCCCTGCATGTACCCAAAAGCTGCACAGGTGTGGCGTGTTTTAGTGATTGGAGTTGCATGCAACCTTGGATACCCGTGCATTTGATTGCCTCGTGTGTATCCGGAAATATTTGGCACTGAATATTTATCTGCACATTGAGGCTTGGAACTTAGTTTCAGATCTTATTTCAGGCCTAGGCACGTGAAGGAGGAATGGTTGTCTGTCCATTGCTGCCACTAAGAACGAGGACTCCTAATTGATGATGCCATATGTCACCGAACTTGAAATATAGCCATTGCACAACTTATAAAGCTCATCCAATATGTTTTATGTTTACACTACTAATGCTTTTTGTTGGGTTATATTGGCCAGATAGGGGCAGGGGGAAGTGAACACTCAACACTGCCATCTCCTGGCAGAGAGACTCAATCATCAGATAGATCCAATCCTTAATATCCATAATATAGTTTTTTTTTGGTTAGCTCACGTAAATATAAACGTGTCGTTTCGCCAGTAATTACAACTTGCATAATCAGGCGACAGACAAATTTGTTGGTAATATTGGTCGCGAAAGCCTACGCGTTCAACAGATCCAATCCTTTAAATAATTTGTGGACTGAACCCATTGGATGTTCTGCCATCTCCTGGCCACCTCGCTTTCAACACATGGCATGCACGGATGGGTCATCCATCCAAGTACTAACCAAGCTAAATCCTGCTTAGCTTCTGAGATGTTGGTGCATTCAATGTGGTTTGGTCTATGGAAAAATAAATAAAATGTCAATTTACCTTGGCGATTGGAATCTCAGTTGGATGTGATTAACCGAGAAGTGGGTTGCGCTGATAATCCACTTTGCTTATTTTATTGCCCTTAGCAGTGTGACATTGCCTGCATGCTGATATGAATCCAGTAATCCACTGTGTGCCAACAAAGTCAATCCAGCAGATGGCAATATAATGCTACTTTTAGCTCAAAGGTCCTGCCCAGCATCTGTTCCCTTAAAGTCCTTTGAAGTGATATTTAAATTGTGCGCTATCGTCTTGTTTGAACAAGTGTAAGCAGTTTCTTAATGATTATTTTCATTTTTTACTAGACACATTTGGGTTTATTGAGGGTGGAGTTAAAACTTGGTGGTGGTGGTCGTGGTGTAGTACCACGCCTGGTTTAAGGTTCATCACACAGGTCCAGTAGAATCATATGACTATTTAAAAAAAAAATATATGAATTGACCAAGGCTATAAATCATAATTATACTCTTTGGTTCTTTCGGTAAAGTCACGTAGGTGTAAAATAAAATAAAAATAAATCACGACGTCCGTCATCAGGTGGGAAAGCATCCTAATTATGTTTGAGGTGTTATTAACTGTTTAACAGATGGCCATGCCAGGTGTTTATTTTTTTTCTTGTGCATCAAACACATTGTTTTAAGTCTTGCACATACTTTTTATTTTTTTTAAAATCTATTAAAGCCTGACTATGTCCTCTTTGGGGGTTCCTGCAATGGAATGTTTGGTCAGTTCCATCCATCAGGATTTGGTGTGTTCGAGAAAACGAGAGTGACCAGAGAAAACCCACCCATATGAGGGGGTAACACTCAGAGCTGTACACACACAAAGATTTAATATTCAATTGCTGTACTACAGTGCCCAATTAGTCGGCATATTTTTTTGTTACAGTGCCTAGTTTAGTTGAAGACAGCGTGCAGAATTTTAGTTCGGTTTTAATGTGTGAAATTCATTTAGTCATTCTTTTTGTCGAGTTGACTCGAGCATAAAGCAAATGTAGCCCACTTTCATTAAATGTTGGGGTGAGAGGCGCACTTTTTTTCCCCCCACCCAATATCAGATAAGCAGCGTGATTTTAATAACTTTGCAAAATGATCTTAGCCTGCACCTTCATTCACAGTCGTTAATTTTGTCTGGTGTTTGGTGGCTAGTCAGCAGTCATCGTCGCGTTTGATGAGTTTCGTCGACTCGGCCATCAAAGTAAAAAATCCCCTCCTTTACGAATATTTCGTGACTAATTTTGTAGCGCCATCTGCTGTTGCCACCTGCTGTTGGCGTGCACGCGTTTTGTTTTTGTACGCCAACGTTCGAAATGCAGCGAGCGTCGGTCTCGTCTCGCGTGGCCAAGGTTGTTCGAGCTTCTTCGCTCGATGGCGGCGCGGAGCTGCGAGTGTGCGCAAACGTGGGTGCGTGGTGTCGTGTGTCCTTGGTCGAGCTCAGATGGACGGGAAGCTCGTGGTCGATCTCAAGGACCCCAACCGGCCTCGCTTCACGCTGCAGGAGCTGCGCGAGGTCCTACAGGAGCGCAACGAGCTCAAGGCCAAGCTCTTCCTGCTCCAGGAGGAGCTGGTGTACTATAAGAGGTGATGAGCGGCACGACCTGCCAGGTGTCGGGGATGTTGCGGCTCAGCCCGCCACAGTCTCAGAACTGTTCTCATTGGAAGCAGCCATTCAGAATCAGTGGAAAGGCGTTAGGGTTTGAAAAAAAAAAAAACCTATCAACTATTTTTTATTTTTTTATATATATAGTTCTTTATCAGAAGCAAAATGGTCACACGTGATAGCTCAACTAAGTGGCTTATCACGTGGAAATTTGTAATGAGTACAAAATGTAACAAAATGGACAACATGTATTCATTACACTGTGCAGCCTGCGTTATTTGCGAGCCCCCCCGGTAATCACGAGCACCACAACATTAATTCAGCCAAAGAGGGTTGAGTGTGGTTCCCAAAAGGTGGGGTCCTGTTTGGCAAATTTTGAATGCAGATGTTTTCAAGAGGTAAGCAAAATGAGGCTCACATATTGATATATTTTTTTGTAACTAATGTTATATTGCTTAATATTAAATAAATGACACGATTAATTTCAAGTCCTTTTTAAGTACTGTTCTGTAAATGAGAAAAATAACCAGATGTGGGTATCTTTTCATATCCATTTTTAAGAATTTTACATCGTGAAATATTTCAATTCTTAATTGTGTTAACATTTTCAGCTTGCAATTCACTGTGTTGTTTTGATTACACATTGGAATGTACAGATTTGCTATCCTTAATTAAGTCGAGGTCACCCTTGGACAGGAGGTGCTCGCTCCCCATGGCCTCTGACATGGTCACAAATAAAGGGCGCACATTCACAGTGTAGCTAAGGATGAGCATTCTGGGCTCCACTTTGAGTGGCCACCTTCGCTCCCTTTCTTTCTGGTCACGAGTAATGTCTGCTTTGACCCACAGGACCCTGTTTTATGCAAAGCATTAATGTTCTTAGGCGTTTAATAAGGGATGTGTAACAATTCATCCTTCTCACGATGTGATTATGTTTTCATGATTTGGGATTGCAATTCAAGAAACAATCTTTCTTCACTTGAACCGATTACATACAATGACGTACCAATCGAAAACAATCGATTCGTACGTGCACGATGGAATGCATGTGTTGTGATTGTAAGAATCGATTTTAGTCTTTGAGTTGATGCATTGTTACATTCCCAGCATTTACACTTGCTTCACCTGAACTGGTTTATTCCAATTCTTGCATGGCGCTGCTTTATAATGTTGCTCGTCAGCCTTTACCGTGGCAGTCTTCCAAGAGGTAAAATTACTCCCGTCATGTATGGAACTCTTGATATTGGTTAAGCATTGTTTTTCCTCCATCTAAGTCTGCTTTCTGTCCACCCGTCACCTTCTATGTAAGATGTTCTGCTCGTTTTTTGCACGTGCTGAGCAGCTTGTTCTTTTATTTACTCTTAACTGTACAGTGTCTTGGAGATCAGGATTTGTGCGGTGGGCAGAAATGGAATGGGTGGAAGGATAGATCTTGCTATTTATGTACGTGCCACCTGGCTTCCGCTTTAGCTGATATTGCTGCTGTATTGCCTTTCCTCCACTAAGGGGCTCAATTTCGGCTGCGTCGCCTCAATCGCATGCACTGCCTCGATGTTCGCTGTGCTCCTCTTGGTGAACGTCCGGCTGTGATCCCTTCTCCAGCTTCACCGATTTGCTCACGTGAACACAGGGGGTTTTCCTTCAACTCAATCCTAAAAAGTCCCACCACCGTGTCTTTTTTACACTTACCATTCGTAGATTGACAAAAAATACAAAACAATAAATTCTCACGACGTTTCGACTGCAACACAAGCAGTCATCATCAGGTGTGAAAACCCTGATGATGACTGCTTGTGTTGCAGTCGAAACGTTGTGAGAATTTTATTGTTTTATTTATATTTTATTATTTTATTGTTTCCCTTCAACGTCACTTACCGAAAGAACCAAGAATATTAATCACTGCAGTCACGAAAGCTTAAAAAAAAAAAAATACAAAGTTATCACTGCTTGCACCTGATGGTTGATAAATACATCCCACGTGACCTCGAGAGAGAGAGAGAGCGAAAGCTGATTGAAATTAATATCCTCAAGTCTATCACACCTGTACGTACACGCAGACATGTAAAATCTGCTGGTGCAGTCGGCGCAGTGCTCTCTACATCATGTGTGTTCCTGCCTGTAATGTGATTTGAATTGAGAAAGTAGAAAGATGTGCTGCAGTGGGTCTTTAAGAGTTGTGTTTGGAATTTCCTGCTGAAACATCCCACGAGGCATATCTTTAACAATCCACAAGGCATATCTTTAACATCCCACGAGGCATATATTCCCATCATGTGCCCTCTGTGAGATGGTATACAAGTTCCGTCACCCCAACACACCAGGATTTTCATGACGTTTTTGTGATGTGGAGGTGAGGTTGAATTCAAGATGAATTATTTTATTCGTACCGTCTCATTCTTTTTGTACCGTCACGTTTTGTGCATTCTGTAAGCCCAAAGGTAACATCGTATTATTTTGATGCATCAAAAATTATATATATATTTTTAATATCATGAGTATTAGGAGTTCATTTTAACGAATGAATTGTTGCGTTAATGTACATTTAATATGTGTTGGCTGGGTTGACCAACATTTTTTTAATGCCCATATTTAATCAGGCGAACGTGCATGTATACAGATTTCCAGTTACATTTTTTTCTCAGTGATTTTTTACATCGACAGTAAAGTATATACCGGGTAGCCTGGAGGTGGCACTGCAACACCACAAACACAACGTGTGTGCCGTACAACCAAGCGTGACTGCAGCGATTGCATGGCTTTGCACCAGTTAAAAAAAACTACATTCTTGTGTTTTTTTACTCTATCTATCTATGTTATATGTGTTCTTGTCCAGTGCTTCAAATTTTACCCCTAGGATGGTCATAAGTACATTGGTCCAATGCGAATTGGTGACACACTGATGATAAGAGGTTTGGTATGAATGTGTAAATCTCCCTTGAGAGCAAAGTATATTAGTGGCGACACTGTGGTCTCCATAGTAGAGTTTTTTTGGGGTTAGATCGCGTTAATATATAAATGTGTCGTTAAAACCCGCCACCACCCGACACGGGCAACTCGTAAGGGTTGTCACGTAAACAGAACATGCCAATTTGTCACTAGTACAGCACACCGGTGTGTTGGAGAGCCAAGCCACAACATTTACAATCTGAGTACGACGTTTCGCCAGTAATTACAACTAGCTTCATCAGGCGACAGCCAGATTTGTGGAGAAGGCTAACTATAGAGGCGTAGATGTGGTGACCACGCTTCTGTGCTCTTGCACCACGTGGGGGGGGATTACTGATGCAACGTACATTATGCATTATGCGAGCCCTTTGAACATGTCCTTCCTGTCTATTGTGTGTATTAAAATAGCCGTACCAACGGTAATCCCTATTGAAGTATGCTGCCCTTTGTAGGCATGCATTTAAACAATGTTTTATTTGATAATTCGCTTCCACGCAGCACTAAGGCGGTAGCTATCCGAACGGTTAAAGTTATTTTTATTTCTTTCAATTCGATAGATTATATAATTAGTCTTAGCCAGTAGTAGCTAGTTTTGCACAGAACCTTCAACATTATCAAAATCGATTGAGTGTCCTTGTTGGCACGCATGTTCTGCTACTGTTGAGAGTTGTATTTGATCAATTGATTTTGGTACGTTACATTTCGTACGCATGCATTTATTTCTCCGCCTCTCCACGCTTCATTGTATATTCTTTAGTTTTCCATTGTCTTCGTCAATTGACCTTATTTCTGATCCATGTGGGTAAATGAACAAATACAGGTTAAAGACGTCACACGTACGCTGTTAAGAAAAGTGGACTTGGACGGTACGCGTCGATAGAAGGGGTGACATTTACGGCTGAGAGCACGTAAACCGGGGAGATGGAGCGATTAAATTGGCTCGCGTGCAGGTAGATCGTTACATTGCAAGACCACGAGAAATGGTTTGTTCGACTTGAGGATGCCTTCACACAGCAGAGGATAGAGCATGAACTGATTATGATGATGATGATGGGAAGCAAAGTATATGCTTCTCGAATTTGACGCTATTTGATGCAATAGTACTGAGGACAAGCATTGACCAGCGCAGTGAAGTATGGTCAAACAACCCCCGTAACTGACTTGGCTTGGTCAGGCATTCATTCACAAGGGGATTAAGAAAGGATTGTAAATAAAATAAAACATTGTAAAGGTTCTGTTGAATGAAGAAGATACTCTTAAGAATGAGGAAATCAAGCTCTTGTGTTTTTCACTTGATTGTCTGGGTAGTTTCAACTTTGTGTAAATGTCTCATGACATTAATATGCAAAGGTTCCATTATGCTAAGAAAGAAAAAAAACCCACACATGGGATAAATCGATAGACCTATACAATTCGAGTAGATCACAATTAAACCCATATGAAAAGCACGGTGAGTGGTTAAAAAAATGAATGAACACGTCTGTCTAAAATAGTCAATGAATGAGGCTTCTGCATTTGCAAAAGCCATAAATATTCGATATATGGCTCACTAAAGTGTGGACTGATATGCCTCCCAGAACTAATTAATGTTTACTGCGCATAACAGGTTCCTCCGCAATTGATGAATGCACTCTCTAAACAGCAGGAATGGGTAGATATAATAAAATCCAGATTTTGCATGGGGTCGCGATTATCATAAATCTTCATTGAAAAAATGACATAGCGGTGAATGCTAACTCGCTGGGTTTGCCACTTGCTGTGGTTTTCACACCTGATGATGATTGCTTGTGTTGCAGTCGAAACGTCGTGAGAATTGTATTGTTTTATATTTGTATTATTTTATTGTTCCCCTTCTTCGTGGTGGTGACTTTACCGAAAGAACCAAGAATATGAATCTCTGCAGTCACGAAAGCTTGAAATCAAAACTTGCGGTCTCGTCCGCCGATGCCTGGGTGCCGCATTGCGCTGGCTTGTGTGCGCTTGTGTGTGTGCGTTGCCCAGGCTCTGTCGCGAGTCACAAGAACCATGTGCCTGTCCGACGTATTCTCGGGTTGTGTGCCGCGTGTTGTTCAGAATGACGTACGACATTTTCACTCCCTGTTTTTGCTGGGAGCTTCTTTAGGAACTGGTGTGTCCTTCCAGAACAAATTAAAGAAGCTCCCAGCACGTGGAGAATAATGTCAGACCTAATGCCGGACAGCACGCGGTACACCCCGAAAGCATGTCGGAGAGCCGTACAGCACAACCGCGAAAACCTACAAAGTGAAATTACGAACCATGTTTCTGGTCTGCGAGTGAATAGCGCAGCTTGAATCGGCAAAAAACTAACAAAAGTGGTTGGGGCAAGGGAGATGCTGTGAATATGCTCGATTATTTTTTTAGTAATACCCTTCAAGGAAGGCCACCTGTTGCCTTTCTCTTCCGCTTACCCCTTTCTCCACTTTCTCCTTCATTTTATTTTGTGCCCGCTCCTTCCCTCCTGTCCCTGCTGTGTCCCCCCCCCCCATCCTTTGCTCTCTGAAACCCTTTCGGGCTTCCCCCGCCGGCACCCACCCCAGCCACAACCACCCATGGATGTCGGGCGTCCGGAAACGGCTGCGAGGTTTTTTTCCCGTCAGGTATTCCCGCACTTTCCCATTGCTCGGCGTCGAACTGATCGCCCGGAATTCTTGTCCTGGCACCTCGTTGCCGCCTCTGAAATCCCCCCGCTGTCCTCTGTCGTGTGCCCACTGGCTTTATATTCCCCCAGGGAACCGATGCTTGCTCACCTCCCCCTGCCGCCCCCCCCCCCTTGCCTGTATTCGGCCGGCAAAAAGTGTTACGCGTTTGCTTTCTACTTAAAACCAGTTGAGATGTCATTGACAACGCGTGGTGTCTTGTCCAAGGGAGGTCGGATCAAATCCCAGACAACATGTGCGTAATGCAACAACTTAGCCGGCCAAGGCAAAAATGCAGCACGCGCTTTAACTATCACTTTTACGAAGAGTAAATTATATTGTTGTAGTCTTCCCTCATATGTTCAGTATATATACGTGTATCCAGATATAAGATGGTGCCCCAAAATCTCATTCCCTTAACCTGCAAAACAGTAATTGTAACAACTTCCCAGTACATGTTGTGCGTGTGTCATCATTGTTCATATCTGGTGATGAATGTCATCTTGCTTTGTGAACTAATAGATACATTTCACAATACTCTACTGTGCCATTGCTCTATAAGGGTGACTGTCTTTGCTCACTTATTCTGACATGCGCACTTTTGGTTTGTGAAGAGCGAACTGCGAATGGGGGGGGGGAATTCTGACTGATTATTTTTTGTTTCACACCTTTTTCAATTGAGTCTAGGTTTTTCAAATTGACGGTTTCAAATTTCGTGGGACGCTTGTTCAAGATGAGCGATTTAACATTCAGTTTAGACCACCAGGTTTTGCATTCCTTCATGGATCTGAACGTAAATCTTGACTTAAAGCCTTCGTGACTGCAGGAATTCATATTCTTGGGTCTTTCGGTAAAGTCACGTAGATAGGTTCAAAGAAAATAACAAAAAAATAACAAAAAACTACGACGTTTCGTTCGCAACACAAGCGGTCGTCTTTTTGTAGTTTTTGGTTATTTTTTGTTATTTTCTTTGAACCTATCTACGTGACTTTACCGAAAGACCCAATAATATGGATCTGAACGTGTATTTTGTTTGTACCAATGTCACATGGAGACACGTAGGTGTCAGCCTGTGACATTCCAACACATTATCACGTGTGTCTGCAACTGTGTGGCTGGTGAATGCTACAGAAGCAGCGGACAGCATGATGTGTAAAATGTAACCTGTCCTGGGTTCAATGCGATCTGAAGTAGCTTGTTTTGTCCGCGGGTAATATATGCTCTATACTGTAGTATTCACATGTCTTTGCAAAACATCACATAAACACAACGCTTTACATACCAACACTCAATATGTTGCACAGCGTTGTTCTACCGTACATACTGTGAGATGTGTGGATGTTCAGCAATAACAAACCTCACTTGTCATTGGCCGGAAAGACTCCACACGTTTCCTCCTCGTGTTCTTATTCCATAACCTCCAGCCCTGTCTCGAGGAATACAGTTTCATCCACAAAGTTTCTCTGTGTTCCAGTAGCCGAATGCTTTGTGTCCGCTTTGCTCCGTTGGGCTTCCATCACTTTCAATGCACCCAAATTGGTTAATCTTCAAGATGCATCAAGTTGTTCATTTCAATGGCTTCTGCGAGGTGGGATGTACACAATGCTCTGGGTGTGTTTTAGCGCTGTACTGCAGGATGTAGCAGCTGGGTTTGTGAGCACAAAATGAACACATTTTCACCCCCATTGCAGTGAGGATAGTGACCTGGACCCATCACCTCCCGGGAGACCTCTCCCATCACAACACGCCATCGTCAAGCCTTCCCCACAGGACTCGGGCATCCGTCGCTTGTAAGTTTATTATTATTGTCGCGACACTTGTTTACCCAGTACAGCCTCTCGGCGCCTCATTACTGTCTTTCAGGAGGGTTCCTACAAAAAAATGTTTGCAGTCGACGGCAATGATCGCTGTGTATTTGCTTAACGCGGTAGATGCGTTGATGACTAATGGCGCGTTCAGCAAAAACGCGCGGGGTGAAAAATAATTTCCCCAAAAGAAAAAAAACGGTGGGGAGGGGGGGGGGGAGAGTTGCAGGATGGCGAGACAAAGAGCTGAGGTGAGGGTACAACCGTCCCGCGCTGCTATCATTCCGCTCGTGCGCCCGGAATTCCCGTACCGGATCGGCCGCGCAGCTTGAGGAAAAGGTGGTCGCTCGTCGATCGCTCAAAAAAAACGCGTCATTGATGGGCGCATTCCGCCTTGTGTGAGAAGCGTTAGAGCGACAGAAAAAACGCGTCACTGACGGGCGTATTCCGCCTTGTGTGAGAAGCGTTAGAGCGACAGAAAAAAACGCGTCACTGACGGGCGCATTCCGCCTTGTGTGAGAAGCGTTAGAGCGACAAAAAAAACGCGTTGTGTGGGAAGACGTTGAGCGAGGACTTTTCGTGACGATTCCAGTCGAGTGATTTGTGGGTAATTTGTTCACACTTCGCAAGTTTGGACCGTGACGCTGGTCACACAATGGGGTGCTCTTGCGAATGATTCTCGCAGGATCTTTTGACGTCCATTTTGAAGTAAGAGGGCTTGTATTTGGATGGTTAATACACCCGAAGTGTGAATGAAGAGAGGCTGCTGGATTCAAACCGTGAATATCTACAACAAGTGGCACACGTGCTACCATTAGGTCACTTTAAGCGGAACAATATAAAAACATCCACTTCTCTGTCTATGCGGACGTCTATTTACCCATTAATTAATCTGTTCCGTTTTTTGTTCATATGTGTACGTTTGCATGCTCGTCTCGCTGGTTCATGCGGTGAGCCCAGGGCATTCAATGCAATCAGTTAGGTCTCGACTTCATTAACAGTAGTTGAGGTATCAAGGTGAAGAGGTCACCATGATGGCCAGTGCCATGAATGTCACCCACACCTCGCCATCTTTGCTACTTGTTCCCGTAGTTGTTTTCAAGTCGACAGTTGACCCTCAAGGTCTGCTCTTAGACTACCCCAGCATCCGGCTGTCGTTCGGTTAGAGCTCGACAGCATGTTTACTTACTAAAGAGTTCCCACTTACCACTGCTTTATCCTTGTTTGGGCCTTATCTTTAATCCGGATTCTTCCTTTCATGTTTTACGTCCTCATTTCAGTAATCTTCCTGCCTTCTAGCCCTGATTCCACAGCTGGAGACAGGGTCGATACAGCTGTGGAGACAGTAGTTTAAAAATAAGTATTGTGAATGTCCACCTTGTCGTACTACCTACAGGATAACATGGTATAAGTGACCGGCACAGTTTACCTGCATTTGTTTATATAGCCAGTCCTTTTAAAGGCTTTAATTCAAAATATCAAGTTCCATAGTTCATTGTTAAATCATATAATAATTATAATGCACTGAAATGCCACTATCCTGTAAATCCCAATTACGAATGTGATGAAGTCTTGCACACAACTCACATAAATGACATTCGTTGATATTGTAACAGGAGAGGGATGAGGAGTGACGCTCGCCGTCCCTAAAAAGTAATGTTTCATTTTAGAATAATAGATTCACGTACAAGTCGGCACGTGTAGCGTTAGGGATTTTTCTTGCGCGTGCAATTTATTCAATAACTACCTGCCTGCAAATATCACCCTGCCAATCGGGGCAATCCAATCCTCATGAAAATTTCAGCGCGTTAACGTTCAAGGGCGACTGCCGTTCCCAAACCGTGCCTTTCTGTTACGACTATTGAAACTTTTGTTTATTTATTATATTCATATATATATTTTTTGTTCTGCTCAGGTTCAGTTTTTTTTACAAGGACCGCCCCGCAGGCATGAGGAAGCTGTCGGTGGAGGCTGCGCGCCCCGGCGAGACACGGCAGTCTGCGACGGCTCCTGAGCAGAGGCCGCCCTCCGACGGGGAGGCAGTGGATGCATCAGGCCTCACCGGCAGCACGGCCACCCTCAAGTCCATCAGCCTCAACCCGTAGCCCCCTCCCCCCCCCCCCCCCCCCCCGAAGCGTGTACTACGGGGGGGTCAGGGGGTCGGGGGCGGTGTTTTGACGCGGAGGCTGCGTTACAGGGTTAAGGGCAGAGATGTTCACCCTCTCGAGCGCTGCGGTATGGAGCGCGGCCGTCGATTCGTGCAGCTGGAGCCGCAGGCTGAGCACGTGCGTGGTTGAGAAAAAGCGCCTTGGATCAGGGAATGTGTTTCCTTGTTCGAAGCGGTTTTATTTTTTTATTTTCTGCTGTATGTATGTATGTACGTTCGTAAGTATGTTGTACTTATTTCGCACCGTATGTAGCCAACCGTGCTTATCGGAGGTACTGTGTTTTATCACTCTGGATGCAATTATTATTTGGCATGTCGTGGGGATACATACTTCTGCTCATTAATGTGGACATATGTACCTCAATGTCGTCGGCTGAAGTCCAGAGTGAGGCCACTTTTTCCTCATTTTGTACAGCGTGCGCCTGCCTTCCTTAGCCGTCGCTAACAGCAGCATTCGCTTTTGATGAAAATTAGAATCGCGTTACTTATGCTTTTGTTTTTTGAATATTTCTACGGACTGCTGTGCACATCTTGAGACTTTGTGCAAGGTCAACAATTGAGTGTTGCTTGTTACTGCACTCAGTTTTTCTTCATTTAAAGCAAGTGAGAGCCCTGGCGATGATAGCTTCGAGTGGACGTCCCATGGATTAAGTGGACGTCCCATGGATTAATGAATGAAAAAAGGAAATTTTTACATAATCATGATGAATTAAAGTATTAAATAGATCATGTCTTGCACCTGTTAAGGCATTGCTGCTTCAAAGTCAACTCGTGTTAAATAGTTGTTTTAGTAGGTTTGTTTAGCTGGGTCAAGTAGCACAAAACCACCCTCACACTTAAATACGTTTTACTTCATCGCATTTTAATAAGCACAAGTGACTTTTAATTTATATGTGGTGTATTACAAATTGGTTGGAGTTCATGTATAATACCACAGTATGAAAAGGTGCAAGGAATGCTTTGTTTTCTTGTTCATAACGCGCGCATGACATACCGGGTCATGTTTGCAGCACTCGAAAGCAATAGTATTTTAGCGTCGTATTAAATATTTGATTACTTGACGAGGAATCGTCAAAAAAAGTCTCGGTGACTTATGATGCACTGTAGCCAAATATCACACAGCCTGCAGAGGAAGACTTCAACCGGTGGCAGCAGAGAGCAAAATATTAGGTGGGCGAGCATGGCAGATACTGCCATGTAAGGTGAAAGGGGTTGGAAGTGGAATCTGTTGTTAATCCACTGCTGGATGAAGGCCTCCACAATCTCCCACCATCTCCCGCGAGCCTGCGATTTAAACCTTTAACCTTTGCTATTGTTGCACTTATTGATTGTCTTAACGACCGGGTGAATATATTTATAACAATTCTACTTTTGTCAATCCAAAGCGTAGATGAGGGGCCTCCCCATGCCCACTTTGGTCGTGGGATATTTGACCGTACTTCACACTGGTCAATGTGGGTCGGTGCAGGGGGGCGCCCAGGATTGGTCCAGACATTTCCCCACCGCCGGTTATTAACCTCGCCCGGCAATCGAATTAAAGGTCGCCAGTTTGGGTAGCGCGTCTCGCGAACCACCGCGTGCCACCGCTCTCCCAAGCAGACATTCATTATCATCTGCAGAAGTGGTGATTTGTTGGACTCGAGAGCACATTGCCTTAGAACCCGTTTAAGGGAGGCAACTCAATCTCGGCAGTAGTGTGTGGGGGGGGGGGGTGAGGCACGGTGGATTGACGAAGGGGTGCCAATAAAATGAAACCTGCCTGGGCTCGAATAAGACGACACCCTGCTAATACTGACCAGGGGCATCTGCCGTGAAGGCCGGTCTCTGCTTCACGCGATTTTTCGAGAGAGAGGGAGAGAGGTGCCGGCGACACAGTCCCATTCATCACTCGCGCCGCGCTTGTCACAGGGTCGTTACACGCCGGGCTCCGCACTGCCTCTGCTCACGCTGCGGCCAGTGGCCGGGTGATGAGACCGCGCGGGAAAGGCGTTACTCTAGCCACATGATGACGTCACATGACGACGTCTCTCTTCTGCCCCGGTGGCACACGGATAGGAGCACTGCGCGCCTCTTCTCGTTGCTCGACAATACAAGCAGTCGAAGGTTGTTTTATATTTCAATTATTGTTGGTTTGAATCTGGCCACAACCGATTATTTAGCGACCAGTACATAATCTCATGATTACGTTTTCAAGTGCCCTTGCTTTCACAGTACTTGTGTGTGGAGCACCCTTAAGCCAGCCTACAATGATTATCATCATGGAAAGTGTTAAATACTCCTTCGGTTGCATATAGCTTGTGTTGGATAACATTGGGCAGTTTTATCAATGTGTCCATTGGTGCACCTTCACCGATGCTATTTCATCAATTCTGACCATTACATGGCATCTGTGCTGCCAGATTCTCATTTGAATTTTTATTGAAAGAGAATATAAACGCCGCTGCATCTCAAGATGCTGTACGAAATAGTGGGATGCTTGTCACAGTGACCATAGAAACGGGGAGGAATGTGAACGTATTGGCGGTACATCGGTGGTGCGCGGTATAAAAAAAAACGCATTTTTTCGCAATCATTTATTTTACGGTGAGAATATTGCGGGGTGGTGGTGCTGGTGCTGGTGGTCGTGCGTCAAAGTCGGTGTTGGTAATGTCGAAGCAATCGTAAGAAGACGGACATTATGAGCGGCTGAACACGAAGCTTCACAGTCCGTTGCCGTATAGCAGCACCCAGCCTGATGGCGATTAGCTGGCTCCGTGTTCCAAAGGCCAAGTTTTGACTCCTTGTGCCCTAGACTTGGTTTGTCGGTTCCTCGATTAATTTCCGGAATCATTTCTTGCGAGACGGTGGCATCAAACGTTTACGACTCATGTCACACATTCGAAAGGCAACTGCTGATGGAGAATCTGCGGCTCACTCAAGGGCAATAGCGACAGCGTCAGACTGTATTATGAGGACCGGTGTGTTACGCTGCACCGGTGTACCGCTAAATACGTCCATATGTTATGAAGGAAAGACACTTCTTAGATATTCTATGGGGCTTTCGGTAAAGCCACGTAGATAGAAAAAAATAATACAAATATCACGACGTTTCGATCGCAACACAAGCAATCGTCTTCAGGTGAGAGGGAGAGAGAGAGAGAAAGCTGCTGAGACGAGGTCTTATATTGGCCTGAGATGGGTGCATCAATGTAGGTGGGTGGAGCTAGAGATGGTCCAACCACAGAGGCTGGGGCAGTGGCCCTTGTATTGTGAGAAATTAGCCTGTCAGATAGTCGTAGGCTGAAGAGAAGAGTAAGGTTTTGAGCCTGGATTGGAACGGGCAGGGAGATGACAGCATGAATGGCCCTGCCGTGTTGTGGAATATGTCACAACTTGGGGCATCAGCAGCAGAGAAGGAGTAACCTCCCACTGAGTGGAAGTTGTCGGATGTTTTTGAGAGGTGGTGCTGGTTGTGCAGGGCCTGCGGAGCGAGTTAGCTGGCAGGAGTCTACGCCGCTCTTGATGTACGCAAAGCTCTAAATATATGAATGAGATGTGTTTCTTTGCAATCAAAAATGCATTTATAGGATTGTGTTCTGTTTTAAGCATTGAGATGCATCTTCGTGATAACATGAAATTATGTTGATTTTAAGCTTTTGTGACTGCAGGAATCCATACTCTTTGGTGCTTTCGGTAAAGTCACGTAGGTAGAGAAAGAACCATAGGGTATGTATAAAATTGTGTTTTAAGGGCGACATTTCTTTTTCATAGCAGATGCAGAATTGTGAAGATAGATGTGCAGTTTCAGTCATGGAATTGGCTGAGTGAGAGGCATTTGGTGGTTTCAAGTGTGAATTAAATTACTCCAAATTCAAATGCGTTTGAGGCCAAAAGTTTTAGATCGGATATTTCAAAAGCACGGTGGTGATATGAACCCAATTTAAGAACTTTTTCAACGCGGATGAGTAACTTCTGTGAGAAGTCTTCTAAGTTGGGGAACGTTATCTACACTCAGTGATGAAATGCATGGGCATCAATTGATTATTATGTATAGCCATTTCCTTGAATAGCAAAATTCATCATCTTGTAGGGATTGATGTTAACGGTATTGTTATGACTTGCAATCGGCAGGCGTATCCCCCTGTTTCAATGGAGAGTATTTAAGTTCCCCTTGCAACTCCTGTATCATATTCAAGTACTGAACGTGCAATTGTACAAATTTACAAATGTGTTGAAAACATGCTGACAATAGGTGGGCAGTGGACACACTTCGCGTGTTACATAGCAAAGCATCCGAGGGAGTTCAAGAAGATGCTTTGCAGCAAATCGTTTGTGTACATTTCTGACCACATGCCACTGTGCAGTGAATCAAGTGCACTTGGCAGAATGGTTACAATACTGATCATTATTGTTATCTACAGTACAGCACATTTTCTTTTGGCATAGAAACACCAGGTGACCAATAGCGTGTACCATGAAATGGGCCACATGCTTTCTGAACTCAACCGATTGTTTGCAATGGGTGACTATAGTGATGTAAAGACTGACATTTATGGATTACTTGTAAATCGGATCATTGAGACGCTGTTACTCCCTTGTTCATCACCAAACTAGTGACGTGTTTTCATATGATGAGTGCATGAGAGGCACGGAGAGCCGAATATTCCAGCACACTGCCCGTTTAAAATGCAAAAGCACTAGTTGTGGTGATCATTCCACATTCCAGTTTGTTCTAATCCAGTCTGAAAAAAAAAACATCTAAAACTTTGCCTCGTGTACACCAAAAGTTTTAATCCACCGAGCGTGAAAAGGAGACCCACTCGTCTCTCCACAACAATTAATGTACTAAATAATAAAGTGAACAGATAACGACGATAACAACGGACACCCACTTGACAGAAAGAGAAGTCATTTTGGGAGAACAGAATATTGCTTCGCACGGTAAATTTGTGCCGAATATGATATGACCCAATGGGAGATTGCTCACTATATCTACATATTTTAGTTGTGCATTATGGAAAATTACTATTTTAAGAAACACTTTTTGGTATTTTCCTTACACCAAGGAGTGAAGATACAGGGTGGTCTTACAGGGTGTTTGCTGTCAGTGCAACTGCGATGCCAAAACCAATTTGATGTCGAGCTCGCTGAAATTTGACGGGGAACATCGTACATGACTCGGTCTCGTTGGCGGACTTGTATCAGAGGTTGATTGGAATGTATTCATAGCTCTCATTAATGTGAGAGCTTTGAATAGACTAGGACTCACTGGGTGACTCGTATCAAAGCTTGATTGGAATGTATTCATAGCTCTCAGTCATGTGAATAATTACATTTATTCACTCAGGAAGGCCTTGCTGATTATCCATTGTTACCTTTTCAACTGGATCCAGTTTTATCAGTTAGATATAAAGAGTATTTTACATTTTGATTTAAAGCTTTCGTGACTGCAGGGATTCATGTTCTTTGTTCTTTCGGTAAAGTCACCACGTAGAAGGGAAACAATAAAATAATAAAAATATAAAACAATAAAATTATCACGACGTTTCGACTGCAACACAAGCAATCATCATCAGGTGTGAAAACCACAGCAAGAAAATTTGAAAAAAGTGGCGTTTTTTTTAACGTTAGCACCACGGAGAGCGATTTGCCAGTTATTCAGATGGACGAGTCCATCTATGTTCGGACAAGAGGAGGGGGGAGACCAAAATAATGGATGCGGTCTGAAAGCCACCGTAAGCGTGAACAATCAATTAAGACCCGAAATGGTTTATCAAATCCTTCCAATGATTGCTAAGCCAGAATCCATCTTCTCGGTTGAAATTGTCTCTGTGTTTGTATATGTGGATAGCCTCATGAACGAATCTCTCATGGTAGCCAGATGACTTTACCGAAAGAACCAAGAATATTATTTTACATGTGGAGGGGGGGGGGGGGGAGATAATTATCTGTCAGAGAAAACCCACGTGAGGGGGAATAACAATCAAAGGTCTGCACAGATAGGTCCATGAACCCACTCGCTGTACCACCATCTTCTGGCCACCTCGTAGCCCAACGGTCTCTGGGAGGATGATCCATCAACCCTTGCCTCCAAAAGCATGTGGTACCACAGCATCTGGCTTAAATTACATAAAGTAACAATGATGCCTCATGCGATGGGTTTTCATGTCTGATTGGCTTGCTCTCACGTCCTAATATATGATCGTTGCTTGGCTCACACGTGTCAAAAGTGCGATAGGCCCTCACATGCTGTGGCATCTTGATCTCACAAGATTGATGTATCCAGCTGCATAACGATTACTCCTCTTTTCATACATTTTGCTCTAGTTTTGGAGCTTCAGATACACGCGTTTTAAAGTCTATCCAGCCTTTAACAATCCTTAGCTAATCAGGATCTAACGTTTAATCATGTATGAATGTAAATGCAATGACGATTTCATATTCTGGTGCCGAGGGAATTGGAGGAGTGTTCAGAAGTGCATGCTGCTGTCGTCATGGACACCTCGTTGAAGAACACAAATTTTGTGTCTACAACTTCAAATGCTTTGGGGTTCAAATAATTTTTGTATTATTAAAACATGACGGTAAATCATTTGGGGGAAAATGTTTTAACATTTGGTTATGTTGGGTCAACATGTTTATAAAAGTCTACAGCGCAAGTATACAATTGACATTTACACCACATCGTTGAGGTACATGTGTGCGATGCAAAGTATATACATTTGATACTTTCAGTAAAAAAAAATAAGATGCTGTGCACCTTTTGACCCAACGATGCCATTGGCGTATGGGTTGCAAAGGCCATCTCCCCCAATTACAGTAATTTATTTATTGCTCAGGGGTTGTGATGACGGCCAGATCACGTTGGCCGTCGCAGCTGCTGTGTGTTCCCATCAACCTGGTTTGTGCAGAGCCAAACTGAAAGGAGACAATCGCATATCACTAACCTGGCGATCATATAAATATTACGCTGCACGTTTGGAACTGACAACATAAAGTATCGTATGTATATCAGATAAGGAACATACACCATTGTTCCATTCTTGCAATCCTAGGAACATGGCTCTTAAGACACGTGTTTGAATTTATGCAACAGTGGGAGAGTGCTGTTTAACTCGATGTCTTGATTGCCGTTTCATCCTCCACTGACTCTCTCTCGCTCTCATCTTTAAACACAATGACCGACGCATATTGGATGGAGGTGAAGGCGAGCGCTGCTCTGCATACCCAAGTTGCTTACCGAGAATCGTGGTCCTGTACCAGTGCTATCTCTTTAGTATTCATTTGGCGACGTGGAATGTATAGTGCCAAGGAGCAGCCAGGCCCTCTAAAACCCATACAACTAATCTCGTGGGCTTTCTCGTGCCGTACATCACATTTAACCGAGGATGCTCAGAATACTAAGCACAATGTAGCTAGATCAAAGCAGGCAGATATCCCAGAATGGCTACGAATTTAAGCGTTGCCTTTTGTTGATGAAAGAGGATATTTAAAAAAAGTGTAAATCATGTTAAAATACACGTTTATAAACATCAGTTTAATCTTGATTTGAAACATCAGTTTTACAATTTGAAGTTGCAGTATTGGTTAAACTGTGCATTTTGAATCATGCCATCAATCTGAATCGCATCTGAATATGGTTATCGATAGAAACAACTTACTAAGTCAGGATTTCTATTAAATATACAGTGATGTTTAGCCGAAATCAAAATTTAAAATGAACAGTTTATATAGCAAGAGTCGAACAGCAGAATTCAACTGAACAGAACCCATTAATGTATTCGTAAGCCTTTCCTGCTGCCAGACTAAAAAAATGTTAGTTTTTTTTAAAAGATAAATAAATGCCTGATTAATTAATACATGGATGAGCAATTATGCCCCCGGTAAAAGAAGGAGTTGCAGCTGCAATTCACTGGGTTTAAACGCCCCCGGAACCCAGCCTCCTACGAATTCTGTATGCACCTGGGGCACGGTACGCTTATTTGCAGTGGAAATGGAAGAATTCCGAAATGTGTCAACACAACTGCACTCTCACCCCTCCTGTTTCAAATGGTGTCACGCAAAGTGTCTATCGTGCAACTCGGATCCTGGAGTAGAATCCAAGCAGCGACTCATTGCTCGAACGGAATTGATTATAGAGTGCAGCGGGTTGATGGTCTCAGGCTGGTCACCGAGAGAAAATATTGCTTCTGTCGTAACGACGAACAACCTCATTGTTGCACGTTGTATAATTGCGACTCGCACTGTTCGAAAGACCACTTGAGGGATTGCCAAACGTCCCGTGGAACATCACTTTAACAGTCTCGGTGGATGGAAGCACAGAGATACACTTGCTCTTGTGAGAATGTTTGAATGGATTTATTTGGTCTTTGAGACATGATGCCGAAAGTGCAGTTGGATTAAACCGGGGGAACTAATAAGACCGGGGCAATATGTTTTTGAAGCTTGTCCCATCTGAATGGTACCAGAGGCTGCCAGTACGATGGTTGATATTCTGTTGGTAATTTGAGAAGGCACAATAAGATGAACAGCACAGACCACGTGGATCAAAAGTGTAGAGGCAATGAGGCCACGCAGCCTTTACAAACCATTCGGTGAGGTGTAATGGGAGGTAATTATCATGCTTTAGATGTTGATGCCAGAATAACCCGTCACTGTCTGAGAACGTGGATCATTGAATCGTCTTTTTCCATTGCCTCTATTTTGAATTGAGCTCCTTTGTTCGCAGCCGTGGAGGCAAAACTCTTTTAGTGGCTGCTTAACAGCGTGGAGTATGAACGGGTCTCTGTTACCGCTCGCATTTGTCCTCCTCACTGCTTCTTTCGGTAAAGTCACGTAGGTATAAAATACAAAACAAATTATTATTAAAAACATTAAATCACGACGTTTCGGAAGCAACACAAGCATCCGTCATCAGGTGGGAACACCACAGCAGCAACAAACTTGCTGTAGCCGGGCAAAATCTCTTGTCATAAGCAACTCTTAAATATTTTATTTGATACCTACGTGACTTTACCGAAAGAACCAGAGAGTATGGATCATTGCAGTCACGAAAACTTCAGATCTAGATTTGTCCTGTTCACTACGAGTGTCGTCTGTGATCTGCTGCAGCCAGTGCTGATGACTATTCTGTTTGTTTCAGTTTCCGTGCAGGAAGTCTTCAACTTACGAACGACCTCACTTACGAACCAGCTTCCATGAAAAAAATAATATATTTTTTAACATTCACTTAAAACGCGAACTCTCGATTTGCAAATTGAACAGCGGCACTGTTTTGTTCAGCTGAGCGATACTCCGCTGATACGTAAATGAGTCGGCCTCGTGCTGGGAGTGTGTGTGCGTGTGCGCATTTAAATATACAGTAAATTACTGTTCCGACTTATGAACCGTTCGACTTACGGACGGGTCTCGGGAACGAATTGTGTCCGTAAGTCGAGGACTGCCCGTGAACGGGTGCTGCTCCGTGCTGCTTCTATGCATGGCAGTGCTTTCAAGGCCTTCGTGTTGCGTTGCTCGCGTTAAGCGTAAACTCGGCCAACGTTTCTACGTTAATACGTAAGCGCAGTGGAATGTGTTCAATTAATGCGTTCTGTTTCGATTTAAAGCTTTCGTGACTGCAGGGATTCATCTTCTTGGTTCTTTCGGTAAAGTCACCACGTAGAAGGGAAATAATAAAAAATAAAACTTAATGGAATAACATTATTACGACGTTTTGGCCACCTGAGGACGGCTGCTTGTGTTGTGGCCGAAACGTCGTGAGAAATTGATTCCGTTATGTTTTATTTTATTATTTTAATATTTTCCTTCTACGTGACTTTACCGAAAGAGCCAAGAAGATAATGCGTTCTGTTTAATTTGCTTCAGCAAGAACAAGCAGCATTTACGTTTGACTTTAAATGTAGCCCGTGGATATTTCGCCGCATCCACTTTTGAGCACTCCTGATCAAAGTATACACGGATTGTGTCAGGGTTTATTATTACATAAAATCGATAACAGTGTTTGGGTGTATGGCTGTTTATACTATAATCATTGGGACAAAGACGTTCTTGTCCGTTTTTATGGAAATAAGTGTTCGCCTCCAACGTACGAAGTATGGTATTCTCAGAAATCCCATCAACATAAGTGTCGCAGAGTGTGTGTTTGTGTGTGCCGCGTAAAACAAACGCCAGTGCATCGATTGAAAGTACATATTTCCTGAAGTAGTAATCCGATTTATTAGAGTTAGTGAGGACATTTAGTTTGGACAAGGTGTGGTAGTGCCTGGAAAGTGTGAGTTGCATTGTGCCAGAGGAAGTGGACTATGTCCACAAATGTTGCCTTTTCTGTAGCTGAAGGAGAAGACGAATGACAAGAGTGAAACCTCTTTAAAAGGGAATGTATGTGTGCACATTTTTTTTGCTCGCTTTGATATCTGCCACCATTGGTTTAAATACAGTATTGATATTTCTTGAGAGTTGGATTTCAGGGCAATTCCTCAACAAGTTGAAATTTTTTTTCTTCTTACCTGCCGGTAACTTCGT